TCAAACTCTGCATGGGTTGTATGTGTTGTGGTGGGCTTTGACAAATCCGACTCAATGTAATTAGCTTCGGGCATAGTTTAAATACGCATGCATAGAGAGAGAGAAAAGAGAAAAAAATCTAACTTTATGAAGTGCTTTGGATTAAACTTTTGTTGAAAGGAGAGATGAGGCTCTTAGTAACACCGATTGCATGTTAAGCATCTTTATGAACTTTATCCCAAGAGCAACCTGATTACTTTGGAACAATAAATGACTTAGGATGGAGAATTCGAAAAGGTGTGGCAGCGTCAGTTGATCAATTAGAAAGCTCTTTAGAAGACACACCAACCACAGCTCACCTTTTGAGTGGTTCGCCCCCAATTGTGTGTCTCATCAATGCCGATTGGAGTTGCATAAATATAAGAAGCACCATTGCTAAGTGCACTGCCACTGCGAAGTCTCGCTGCAGCGTTAATGGAGTCCCTTCCAAGTGCTCGAATTGTGCACCTTTATAGGTGGCAGGGTGCCAATGGATATGGGTTTGTTTTGAAGGAAGAAAAATCAAAGAAGGAATTCTGCATCAAGTCCGTGGAGGCCGGTCTGCCTGCGGAGGCAGCTGGTGTCATGACAAATGATTGTGTCATTGAAGTGAATGGTCGGTTGGCGAGTAAGAACTGCCGTTTTTTGACCAACTGACATTGCCCTCCCGTAGGTTCCATGACTTATAATGATGTGGTTGAGGAAATCAAACGAGATCCCCAGAAGGTCACACTGATGCTCCTTCAGCCGTACGAGAAGCAAGTGCTCAAGAGGCGAGGAATTGAGTTGTCTTCCAAAACATGCTCTGCACAGATTGTCATTGGACGCAGGCAACGCGATGATACGACCAGTGTAAGTATTTATAACAACCTCAATTAATATTAAAATCAAAATCTACACTAAAAGCAGAGCAGGCAGTAATTTGTGCGAAATAATCCATGAACGAATGGCGAGTTTTTTGACAGACAGCCATTGTCTCTCATCACAGGCTGCGAATCAACTTGCTTTGCCTGTATGCGCGTCTTAGCAACGACACGATTAGCAAAATATTTGCAAGCAGATTATGCATTTATTTAGGATTGGTATATAATGTAAGATTTTGAAAGGAGGGGAGGACTCTGGTGACTCCTATAGGGACTTCTATCGCACACCTTTTAGTTCTGCCAATTTTGTAGTGTCATTTAGCATTCGCACAAATGCGATCGTTTTCCTGTTACCGTGCTCATGAAAATAAAAGCTTGAGCTGGTGAATTCTGTCCTTTTGTTTTCGCATTTTTGGTGCCCATCACCAATGTAATTTTAATGCTTCCTATCCACTATACTTCCACTACTGTTACGCAAAATTATGGATGCAAGTTATTGTTTTGCATATTGAATTTTATACTCTTCTACTTAAAATGAGGATGATTTGGCGGGGAACTAAACTGAAAATGGAAACAAAGTGGTTTGGGCCGTAGGGTAGGCCAAAAGTGTGGAGGAACAACATCATTACGTTGGCGTCTTTGTTTAGTGCCTTCGGTTGTTTATCCTTCTAAACTTAAATTTTGATCCTGCGCAACCCTTATACGCCACCTTTTCTTTCTTGGAGGTGGCGTGGAGCTGAATTGGTGAAATTGTAGGCATTCACGTCTCGGGTGTACGAGAATGTAATGATGTCTTTTGCACTTGCTAGATGGTTTGTGAAAAGATGTCAGCCGATACCATTTCGAAATCCCTTATAAACTGCGACGCCGGAACAGCTGCAATGCTGAACAAGCAAAAACTGGACCTCTTATCGTCCTTGTGATTGAACTGAATTCCGGAAACTCCATTACTTTTATACAAAGGGTGCAGAAAATGTGAACCATAAACAGTATCTGATGGATTGTGATTTGTGAATTTGGTGTGTTTTAATAAAATTTCCTCTAAATATTATTTTATTACTGTATGTTTCGCTAGGTGTGGCTCGCCATCTTTTGCTTAAACGCATGGAGGAAGAGAGTTGTCACTCCTGCGTGAGGTAGCACAATGTTGACGCTCCACTGCTCTGCATAAAAGCGGCCCCAAAGTGGGATGAAAGGTTATCGTCTCAATCTCCAAAGCTTCTTTCAAAGCACGTCAGGTACTTACAGCCCCCATAAATTGGAAAAAAATCAGCTGACTGTTGTTAGCACAAACTAGTCTGTCGTGTAGCGGGTTGAGTTGTCACGCCTACTACTACAGGCGGTTGCTTTGAGGGATCGGTGCTTTCCTTTTCTAACAGCGCAGAGACTTCCAGGTTTAGCGTTTTTTTTGTGGTTTTACAGAATTTACGGTGTGGAAGGCTTTTACTATGCAAGCAACACAAAAACGTTGTAAATACGTTTCATAAATTAGGGAAATTGCTTGTTGTAATTTAATACTGATGACTATACTGTGCATCCCTTCTGTGCTAAACGGGCTGATAGATCTCGGTGCTCGGGCAGCATGCCTTGATAACTTACTTTAAAAACGAAAATAATGGAATTTGTAGTGGAATTTTCATGCGGCAACAGCATTTAAAGCAGAGTTTCCGAATCCAAGAAACGCACATCCCGAAAACGTTTTGGCGAAGAGAGGATCGGCCTCAGAAGGATTGGAATTGAGGAGTCGCCTTCTAGTTGTCAGATTTAGCGTACTATTTAAACCCACCTCGGAACTTTATGGTGGATTGGACTAAAATAAGCAGGTTTGGGGAAACATAACTTTGAAACTGCTGCAATGAATCAAATTCATTCTAATTTCCTTGATGTTATGAGGTCACGCGACATCTCGGAGGACAAAAGGCGACACAAAGGAGGTTCCATCCGAAGAGGATTTGGTCCGACTTTAGTAGCATTCTGACCATTTTCAGAATAGGGCTTTATTTGAAGGAGTCCTTTTTGAAGTTGTTTATAAGGTCCAAGTGAATTTCACTTCCTGACTAAGCTTTGCCACGGCACGATGGTGATCCTCATGGTACGCTTGGGCCGGACCAAATGCAACTCCAAAGTTCAACAGTAAACACTCATGTGTGCAGACTTTTCACAAGGCTTTGAACCCTATTTTGGATATCTACTAAATTATGCGTCATTGGCTTTTTACTCAAGCATTTCAAATTAGACTTGTAGGGTGGATTGGAGAGCCATGAGGCTGTGGTGAACAATTTGCGCCCGCTGCCATGCCTACTTGTGATGGCATTGTGTTCACTTGGCATTTGGCTTCCTGTGAGTGATGAGCTTTTATGTTCACATTTTGTTGCTTCCATAAGAAAATACAGGTTTTATAAAAAGTAGAAGAAGGCTTACCAATTTGGAAGTAACATGCACATTAGAGGAGGTAGCAACACTGTTGATTAAGCTATTTTTTATCAAATATTTGTGTATCAAAAAACATTGCAATAGGTTTTCTTGTATGAAAGTCAGTAATGAATGAGTTATGTTAATTGTTGCTTCTGACCCATATGCTACAGGTGCTACAAGTGAGGCACCACAGTGTGCCTCCAATTTGACCAACACTGCTCCATTCCTCTTTACCTCGATGCTGAACAGTATGAGCTCAACTTCACCTTTAACTTTTACTGTTGGCATCTTCTTATGCGTGAAAATTTCCTCGTTCACGTCCGAGAACGTATTGAATTTCTTAGGCAGTATTGCGTCGGTTTTCTACCAAAACACATTACAATCTACACCCCAGCAACTCAATTCTAGTGGCTTTCAAGTGGAAGTGGAAGCCTTGCTTCACTGCCTCCCTCACACCGCAAGAGCTGGATGGTCATTCAAGCAGACGTAGTTTCTATCATCACAACTTGACCATCCATTGCTCTTTTAATATGCATTCCATTACGTGAGGCCCCAATTATTTGTTGAAGTCTGCATCCCCAGCCTCAATGTCAATTTCTTTAGCATCCATACCACGGCAAAGATCTGAGAAAAAGAAAGTACAGCAGAAGTGCACTACAGTTTATAAGCAGCCTTTCAATCCATGTAGTTTTACAGATCACTATTTAATATCCACGAGCGATGGCTGCGTACATGCTCATGCGTAATTTTAAGAGAACTAAATTAGCAATGCACAGCGAGATGGCACAAACTTACATCTAAATTATAAGCCCTTCTATTGCTTGGCATCAACTGAGAAAATGAAGTTTGGAATTAAAGAACAGAATGGAGGTGAGAATTCGACATTCATCTCTTAAGACGATTCCGCAGATGACAGAGGCAAACTGCCTTTGGGTGTGATGACAAGCACGTGCGTGACGCGTGTTGTGTGAACGAGTTTGTGAGGTTACAAGTACCGTGAGGGTTACCAGCGTTGAAATCGCACTGACTTTCTTGAGCGCACTGTTAAATTACAATCAGAAGTGAATCGTGAAGTGGTTTTCCGTACCTTAGATCTCCTGTTTTAATTTGCGGATGATACTAGACGCTGGCTAACCGAAGTTAGCGTGACTTATCAAATGCGTAGATTTCTCGGTAAAGGCGTGGCTCTAAGTCACCAGTGCATCTCTATCAGAAACCACCCCATTTTTCAATAAAGTAAATCAGAGACCAAACGTCATCTCAGTTGGGAGACCTAAAATCAAGTCACACTCTCAGCCTGTGAATAGGATGCTCAACTTTAGAATTCGACTTCAGCCACCAAAGAACGCTAAGTGTTCTGGCGGTTACATTCTAGCAAAATACGTTCAGATATTTTGTAACGCGAAAGTGGCTACTCCCACCACCAAGGGACAAATCAACAGAAAATTTTGCTTACTTTCCTGTGACACTTTAAGCATCGCACCATTTCAACGAGATTCCAATTGCTTCACAAACCGGTTGACCTGGTAGTTAATATCAAAATTGGACAAGAGCAGTCAATTTTGACTCGAATAGCTACGCTAGATCTTGAAAGGAAAACTTATAAGGAGGAAACGTATAAACAGAACTGTGACAAGACCTCTGGCAGAAAAACTGTAACACCCACCCACAAAACAATAATCAAATGGATTAACGTTTGCACATTTTGTAACTTGGGCCAAAAACGCAGATAAATTAAAATGTTGAAACAGCGCACATATGGCCGTTGTAACTCCACTGCTATTGTAGTCTACTAATCACGAGTATCTTTGAAATAGATAATTAGATATTAACGAATACTTATAAATTAAAAATCCAGTCATGCGCATGTGATTCTGAAAGCCTATAAGCGCATCGCTGCGGCTAGCAGCATTTTTAGCGAATTCTTTGACAGGAGTTGTGTGGAATTTTAATAAAAGCGTCTTAACACCAGACCCCACGTAGTGTAAATTCATTTAAAAGTTCAAGACGAGTCATATGCAATCCTATTGATAAAAAGCGGTGGCAAAACCCTAATGCATTCTGCGTAATGAGCAAAGCTGCGGCAATACACGATCACCTCAAGCAGGAAACATATTCTAGGTGGTGAAACAGATTACGAAACGAAAAAATATAGCCGCCCGATCGACACAACCATTATTTGCAAAAAATCCTCCAGCAAAGACTTCACCAGAAGATGGACACATTTTCTGTTCATTGTTACTTGGCAGAAAATGCGTAAATTCACAACAGGTTAATGCAGTAACCAAGAGATGCAGTGATAATGTGATTGGCCTTGATTACAGTTGCGCAGTAATTTGTGAAAATCCCTACGATGACCGTTGATTATAACTTCTCAAAGAGGCATTACAACACCTACAGAGGTAACACGCCAACTAGGTAAAAACTCCAAATATCTTCTTTATCCTGACGAAGGATGCCATTAATTTTAATCCTAACCAGTGCCGTAATAAAATCGCAAATCTCAAGTCGAGGAATGTCCAATGTGATTGCAAAAAGAGATAGCTTTGTTATGCACAGTGCTCGAAAATATGTAGACTGTATCCAGTTTTATGACGGGTATCCAAAGTTAGTCACAGAAACGACCGCATGGCATCAGTTTAGATAAGCCGCAATCATCTGAGGAAAAGACTGGTGGTTGTACATGACTCTCTAGGCAATGCTACCTAGGGTCGAAGACAATATCGGAAACTATCATCAATGGAAACCGGCGATTTTGTTGTACTGACTTCATCTCTCTCAAAATCACGCCTTGCGGTACATCGTTGACGCCTCGTATGTTAATCACCAGCCGGAGGTACAGAGTTGACTAATAAAGCTGAAGAATAGGTGAGACTTCGCGAGGCTAAATCTCCCATCATCTCCTCCTTACCCATTCAGATTTGGTGGAGCACTGTGCAGCTACTTAAATGGGTGCCGTTCGGCTGGTTGAGAAATGGAGAATGCGGAGCTGCTAGTTCCCTCACTTCGCAAGTTTGTGGAGGTGCAATAGATGGGCAAAGGACAATTCAAAAGATTGCAAGACCAAAGACCTCCCATTTGGTAATTTGGAATGCGCGTAGTGCCTCAGATTTATTGACACTGACTTGGTCAAACCGTACGTAATATAATTTTTTTGCATTTAATGAAATCAACTTTTTAAATATCAAAATTTCCAAGAATAACATCTTATTTGTTATCGTTTTTATACATTTCTGTGACTCAACGTGTTTTGATGACAATGGTTCCGCCTAAAATATGACCAATGAAAAATTGCAAATTGCCACCATTATTATCTACTTGTGAAAAACTGTCTTCGATTTGTAAAATCAGTTTGTCACAGTTACTATTTCTGCGTAATAAGTGTTCTACCACTGCAAGTGCTGCTCTGCTATTTACTTTTTGATTTTTGTATTTAGCTTCATTTTCTATTGGAGCGATGTCAGTGGTTTAGTTTAATCGAAATGTCTGGTAGCAATTCCTGTGGAAGCGGCACAAGCAATACAATAAGATATTCCAACCGAGGACGAAACGTCAACTCACCTCCGGAACCTCATAAGATGGAGTACGAGCTAAACAAAGATGGTGAACTTGTTCTGGTTTCCAGTGGGTCGGATGTCATCTACGAGGAGGATGAACGAAAAGTTGCCGGGAGCGCTACTATCCAGAACCTTAACTGCGATGACAAAACTTCTCTTGAAATTGCTGCTACCTCGTCAAGAAGTAAACGCAAGCAAACTTTTGAGCGAAAAAACATCAAGTAGGTGATCTGACACCATGGTTATTTACGTTCTCTTCAAAGACTATGCTTCGTCCTTCCACTGTCAATTTTGATTGATTCCTTTGTGCGGGCAACTTTTTTGTCTGTGGGTCTTCTATTATTGAGGCTAAAAAGCGTTTCTGTCCTACGATGGGAGGAATTCTTGGTCTATTGAAGTCTTGTGAGAGTTTTATCATTTTGATATTCTGTAAAATTCTGCTTTATAGGCGTGTACGTGAGGAGACTACTCTTAGTGAAGGAGCTCAGTCTGCCCAGAAGGCGGAAATGGAAAGACGGCTTCGACTTCAAATAGAGCAAAAGACACAGCTTTCGAAGCCGGGTAATCCTGATCTTTGGTCACCAATGTCAAATATTCCCTCTAACCAAACAACTTCGCTTCCTTGTTCAGAAAGTAAGGCAGTTTTACTTCACCATCCCCTGTTACTGTGTCTGGGCTGATCTTGTGAATGGTTAGATTTAACTTTTTATAAAGACTTATTTTCCTACAGCAGGTAGAGAATTCTCTGTGTCTAACTTGAATCTAGCCAATTTTCTGTTTTCTCTAAAATTACGCTCATTACTGGTCTCTACCTGATTTTTACCTGCTGCTGAATTATATGTCTTTAAAGCCTATTTGAAAATACTTTATTTGCAGGCACTCAAATGAAGCCCAAACTAGGCGAAGATGTGAAGTCTTATGAGAAATCTATTTATGATAATTTGATTCCAAAAGCAAATGCTTTGCAAACAGCCTCAACAGCTTCCGAAAAACTATTCAAGCAAAAACAACTGCAAGCCCTTCAAACGGGTGATACTGAGGAAACGGCGATCGTACTGCTTGGCGACTCCGACGATGACATCGAGCTCCCTATCAATGATGCCGATCTGGAAATTGCAGTAGGCTTTTGGATGGCTTTTTTGATGCTATGTTGTTTGCCTAGTGTAATTCTCTGGGTTTCCTGTTTCCTACTTGATACGATGTATTACGTTATTTTTTGCAAGAAGCAAGTAGTCGCTGATAATTCTATTGCTGGCAGAATAAGTGAGTATAGTACTTAGGCTTGCATTTTTTTACCAATCCTTTAATCCTTTTGAATTCATACTTTACCTATCCAGTTTTTTTATCGGCATTTCTTAGTTTCCTTTTGCACTCACGAGAACAAATATCACCTTGTCAATTTTTTGACCGATGTGAATAGATTAGTTTTATTTGACGCCAATGCGCGTAAAATGAAAGCAAAATTGTTTTTGCAGAACAATCAGGTGATTGAATTGAGTGATGACGACGACCCTGACTTGGCGGGCGATGATGATAATGAAGGGGATAACAGGGAAGAAGATGAGGTGCAAGCAGAGTTTTGTGAACTACGTGATGCCGAAAACTTGCCTGACTCCGAGGGCCGCATCTGCATCCGCCGCGGCGCAACGCTAGCCGAGTCCTTCTACCTTGCTCCGCATATTGCCCGTGTTATCAAGCCGCATCAGGTAAAACTTGGTTTCTTTCAGAGTGGCCCATTGTCCCCTAGTACTTTCGAAGAATTTCCTCGAAGTTGCCTTTCAATATCTGTATACATAATTTAGCTTGTGTTGCTTGATTCAGTTTAAACCATTTCTTAAATGGCTCTCTAGTTTCTGTGTTGGGCATATTTTATGAACCTGCTACTTGAGTTTCTTTCTTTTGTAGTTATTGGATAGAGTTTGGTTAATTAAACCAAGTATCGGTTTGAAAGTAAGGGGTAAATGAACCCCGATGTAAGTTTTGCCGTACCTTAGAGGCGTGTTAGCAATTGTGTTACGGCTGATTTACTTCAATGCTCGAGCTTAAATGTTTTAAGAATGTTACAAAAATGTTTAGGAGTTGCTTTTAGATGCTCCAAAACTAAGTACACAAGGCGACACGTTACTTAATTGAATAGACTTATAGCTAAATGAGCGTATATTTGTGTTTCAAAGTACAGAGAGCAAATCTGTAGCCGATCAAATATGCTCCGTCCTTGCTCTTGAACCGTTTATTGTTGCGTCACACTTTTTGATCGTAGCAAACACCGCAGCAATATTTGAAGATACATGTTTATATTTACGGTATGCTACCACTTTTGAATGTCCGCCAAAATCTTGCATCTGGAACAATCACTTCCTGGTTATGCGACGGCAGGTGGACTGGAATTACTAATGTTTAGCCGAAGGGTGATCCGATTTCCTGACGTTTGATGTATCTCAGTTGGGTATTGGCGGTACTTTCAGTAGTTGCAAAATATTGTCCGAATAATAAAAGAATGGTTAATATAACTTCGTAGTGGCAATAAGCTCCGGTTTTTTGTAGTTCTTCCCCTGTTCCTTTATTGTATTTGTAACTGAGGTGCAAGTGCATTGACATTGTTGCTCTCTTATAAGATTGGCTTGGTAATCCGGCGCTAAGTTCTTTGCTTTTCTCTATGAAACTACCACACTACCAGAGTCCTTACGAATTTGAGATTCGCTTTGGTTTGTTTTGTCTCTCTCCTTATTATCCCTTCATTCTGAGTTCAAACTGGTAAGGTCATGTCGGTGTACTAAATCTGGATTTTAACTGTAAAAGCACTGTCGTCGTGTTTTAGTAATGAGTTGTTTTTCACATCTAACAGAAAGTTTATCTTATAATCGTATAGTATTTAGCAAAACCTATTGGCTTAAAGCATTGTTTGAAATTATGGTTGTTTTCTGGGTAATCACAGAATGCCTTTTAAATGCTTCCCCTTCAATTCGGTTGAAAAAGCAAAACTCGTGCTTTTTTAGTGAGTCCTATTGGGTTATACTACATAAGTGGTTTTTTCCACAGCCTGCTATCTACAATAATCCATAAGTCTCCACTTTTGTAAGTCGTCTAATTTAATGGTCTGCTTATTTTGGTAAAATTACTGCAATGTAGTTTGATTCAACAGTTTTCCTTGAGCTCTGTTAATGCTAACATTTTCTGTACGTTCTACGTCGATTCAATGTTTTGTAGCAAATTTAGTTTTCGCTTGTTCTCCGTGGGAGGGGCATTTATTGGTGTTGGCTGATTTGATAGAAATTCCCTTAATCAGTAACCACTTAATAGCATTCAAGTGCTGCTTTTGCAATCGGTTGAATGCCGGAAACGGAATGTTTATGGAGATGTGACTACAATTTTGCGTGGAGCAAAACGTCTGTTATAAAGTAATTCGCATAAATTCTCCAGGCTGGAGAGCCGATGTGTATGCTACTTGTCTTTATAGATTAGCTGCCTTTAATTCCGAGTTTTTACTGGACTTGGACCACCTTTTACTGCCTTATCGTTTGATACTTTCTTACTTATGTGTAATAAATAACCTTCATTTTTCCTCTCCAGCTTTGATTCGTTGAGTTTCACAGCTACTCATTTAGAGTAGTAGAACATGTAGATTTGGCACAGGATTTTTACTGATTTAATGATGTTTGTGTGAATATCTGTTCAAATTTCAGTATGCCAGATCTAATTGTTTTTTTGGGTGCGACTAACAGTTAAAGTTTGGGCTTCACGTTAGGGTATGTTGCGCATGTTCGTGATCAAGGAGGTGTGAAACAGGATTACGTTCGTCCTATTATACAACTGCGCATCCGTTTCTTCCTTTTCAGAGTTCTAGGCTCTTCTGTTTCGACACCACTTTAAAGTAGTACGAATTCGGTTTTCTGCTTCAAGCCATCTGCTGCCAGTAGTACAAATTAACTACACGGATTTATGAACTTCAACCCCACTATTTGGTCGTCAAATTGTTAAGTCAGTTTTACACGTGAATATGCCGTGATGAAGTGAGATGCTAGAAAGTGTTTCTTGTATAGGTGAGCGGTGTGCGTTTCCTGTTCGACAATCTGGTGGAGGATCAGACGCAATTCGAACGCAATTCTGGCTTCGGTTGTATCCTGGCACATTCTATGGGTCTGGGGAAATCCATCCAAGTGATCGCCTTCCTCGATCTCATCTTCCGTTATTGTCGTCCTCCTCCTCGCACTGTCCTTCTCATCGTTCCCATCAATACTCTTCAGGTCACTTCACCCTTTGCATGCCTTCTTGTCGTTATTTTAGTCTTATTGGGTCTTCACAGTAGCCTCTCGAAATTGTGTCAATCAGCCATAACGCAAGCGTTGTTAGTATTTCTTTCAGTAATTTTTCAAGTCACGGAAATTTAATTAGAAAATGCAACTATGTTTACTCGCGTTTAACCTGTCCACTACCATTACTTTGCAGGAAGAAACTGAAGCCTTTAATATTTTAACTGAATTCGATCAACATCAGTCGTATGTCGCTGATTTTTGCGTTTTAGAATTGGCAAACGGAATTTCAAACATGGCTGCCATCTGTTCTCTACCCTACTGATGAAGAAAAGCCAAAAATAAATGGTCATCAGTCCACTACTAACACTGCTTTCAATACCCCCACTACAGTGACTGCGGTGACGTCGCACCAAATGCCTCCTGTTGTACATTCAGAGCCCTCTCTCCTATCTCTCATCAATGACTCTCCTCCGCCGCCTCCCCCCTCGAATCTCTCGGAGATGGAGCCAAGTGAGCTGAAAGTTACTACTGGGGAACCACAATTCCCACCTCCCCCACCTTCGACATCACCACTCTTAAAGCAATCAAAAGCTGAAGGCGCGGTTCGGGAATCGCCATCATTTCGATTGCATGTGATCAAGGATACTACCAAATCTCTTGATGCTCGGTATCAGGTATTATTGACTTCTATCAAAAGTCAACGTCTAGTTCATTTGTCTGTTCTGTGATACGGTTCCTAGGCTTCACTTTTAGCTCTCTTGATAAGGATTTACATTGGCTTTTTGTGCGTGGGATCAGAAGCTTTTAAAATCACTAGGTTTTGAAGGTGGAATGATTTTAGAAGATATTTTTACTACTAATTACCAGGTGGTATCGGAATGGGCCCACGTTGGAGGCGTTCTTCTCATGGGTTACGAGATGTTTCGACTATTAACGAACCCACGGAAACAAAACCGAGTAACCACCGTTTCCAGTGGAGGTCCCTTTGTCTACAGCAGCGGCATCCCAATGAGCGCATCTACTAGCGCCCTTTTCTCGCCCCCAAATCTATTACCTGACCATGAGAAGCCTTCCAGCAGGAAGAGAAAACGTCCCATTACCATTGACGTTGAAAAGGAGGAAAAAGAGGAACATATGCTTTCTGGTGAGCTCTGATTGAATTCTTTGTTCTTCTCAGCAGCTTCAAAAGGTGTACCTTCATTGTGAAAACTTCGTGAAGTGCAAAGATGATTGCGTTTTGTACAATTTTAGATATGCGTATTGCCTTGACTGACCCTGGTCCTCAAATTGTCATATGCGACGAGGGTCATCGCATCAAGAACAGTGAGGCGTCCATTTCCAGAGCTTTGAAAGCTCTTCGAACTCAGTAAATTGGCGAATTCATTCATTTATTTATTTATTCATTCATTTATTATATTTTGGTCGCATAATTCTTCACTATTTTGCCTTCGTTCTTGCAATTAGTGGTACTGCCTTCGTAACTGATGACTCCATCTTCTCGAATTGGTATTAAAATTTCATTTCTCAAAAGAGCAGATGAAATTGCGTAAATCTAGTCATGTGTTTTCCTGGTTTTGCGGGCAGTTTTTTTTCATCTACTTTCTACAGACCATATCAAAGCAGTTAGGTTTGTGGTTCTCTTCACTTACCCGGTCTCGATACACACCACACAACTTTAACTCATTGCTATCTATGATTAAAACTAAGCTACCCGCTGTATTCAATATTTAAGTGGTAGCTAATATGTGGTCTGTCTTTTTCACAGGCGTCGGGTGGTCCTGACGGGGTATCCATTGCAGAACAATTTAATGGAGTACTGGTGTATGGTGGATTTTGTGCGTCCTAATTACTTGGGCACGAAGGCCGAATTTACCAACATGTTTCAACGTCCTATTGAAAATGGGCAGTGTGTGGACAGTACAGAGGCAGACCGAAAACTAATGCAGGGTCGAGCTCATGTGCTACATGAACTTCTCTCCGGCTTCGTTCAACGTCGATCCCACGCAGTTCTCAAGGCTAGCCTTCCCCCGAAGCAAGAAATAGTTCTAATGGTTCGGATGTCTCCACTGCAACGACGCCTCTACACCGCCCTTATGAGTCATATATCTAATTCCTCAAATATGTATGGCACTGTTCTCCCTCCAGCCAACACTTTGCAAACCTACGCACTGTGCTGCAAGGTGAGGTGTTATTAGTGTGCTGCAGATCTTGGCTTTGTAGAACAAATGTCGATTTTTATTTATTTGCCCTAGCATCCTGCATGGGCTTCCAGTAGGTTACCAGTTGTGATCATTTTGTACTACTTATTGAATCTGCCACCGGTGGCAATCATTGGACTTCATTTGAGTCGATTAATGTTGAGTCAAGAGTAGAAAATGGTACTGTTTTGTATGCATGGAATTGTTTCAACTTGTAGTTGAGGTATACATTCGCAACTGTACATCCTTCACAAACAACCGTCTGGCGTCTCAAAAACGCATTTATGCTTGGCCAGTTTATGGTAGAAGAAGAATTATTTTTGCCTTTATGCACCCTTAATAGCATTATATCGCTCATGTATTTTTTGATAGTGACTTAATTTTTTGTTTCTTATCCGTATTTGACGTAGATTTGGAACCATCCAGACGTATTGTGGCGAGTGGTCAAGGAGAATGTGGACGAGATGATGGACTTTGAGTTGGATGATGCATCGAACACAGCAAGTGGTGCTTCTAACCAACGAACAAAGCGAAAATTTAACGGGAACAGTTCAGTGGTACGACCGCTTTTGCAACTTTACTCATGTTTTCCGGCCTATGTGGAACATAATTTTTTGAATACGCGAGTGTCTTCTTCCAAGATCACTTAATTTCAATTGTAATTGGGACTAGTAGCTCCAGTCATTTCTTTTCGTTTAATAGGTCTCTGGTGGGAGTGCAACCAATGATGATAAGTACGTGTGGGTGACTGGCGACCTCTGGGGTGCTGACTTTAAGGCTGGTGATGTTCGCAACAGCGGGAAACTACTTCTATTTCTTTCTCTCCTTTGGGAGAGCGTTCGCGTGGGTGATAAAATGCTCCTCTTCTCTCAGTCTTTGCTGACGCTGGATCTCATTGAACGCCTTTTGGGTCGACTCCCTCTGGACTCCGAAAGACCACCTTCTCCATCACATTCACAGACGACTCAAGAGCAGCTGGACCAACAACAATTAGAAGCGGAGGAAGAAACAGAGAAAACTGTACACTATCGCTTCAATCGTCGTATTGGAAATGATCCATCGAAGCAGCCCCAGGTGTGGGTCAGAAATGTGCATTATTTTCGTAAGTATAATGCTTATATTTTGTTGCTTGCTTTTCTGCCTCGTGCATTCCTCTGCGTTGGTTAATGCAGGGTTGGATGGAAGCACGTCTGCTACTGATCGGGATCGTCTTATCCGCCGTTTTAATGATCCTACCAATTCGGTCAGACTGTTTCTTGTTTCAACGAGGTAATTCATTGGAGGTGTCGTAGTGTTACAATTCTTTAATGATATCATCAGTGTTCGACTAAAAAAACCTTCAAAGTATTGAATCCGCCTCCTTTGGTACTTGTGGATTTCTAATTATTCAGAGCCGGTTCCCTTGGAGTGAATCTTGTGGGTGCCAACCGAGTTGTAGTGTTTGATGCCTCGTGGAATCCTTGCCACGATTGCCAGGCTGTGTGTCGTGTCTATCGTTACGGGCAAGAGAAACCCTGCTACATATATCGTCTTGTATCCGACAATACGATGGAACGAAAAATATACGACCGTCAGGTAAGTTGTCTGGACTCAATTTCTTTACGTTGGAAAAATTTTACTCAAAGTTATGTTACTACCACTAATGACCCATATGCTTTGTTTCGTAGATGTTTGTTGCTAGAGTTTGGTCCCGCTTCAGGTAAACAAACAGGGTGTGTCAGATCGCGTTGTTGATGAAATGAACCCAGGACAGCAGTTCACACGAGCCCAGGTGGGAATTCTGACGGCCTATGAAGACAAGGAAATGCCTTCGCTCTCTGACGAGGATTTACAGTCTATATCTGAGCTCACGAGTAGTGATCCTGTGCTGAGGGCAACTTTGGAGCGCAATAGAGAGTGGATTACGACGGTAGAGCCATCGATTTGTGTTTATGTTCTTTATCGTTCTCTCCATTTCTACGTTTCAGTCTGCTAACTTTGCACTGTTAAAAGTACGTATGTGGTTACCAAATTATGCTCATTTTAAATACCTCTTGTGTACGGGATAATTCTGCAACTGCCGTAAAAAACTACTATAGACACTTTTACCGAACTTACGAAGCGACCCCGTATTTAGGGTTTTTTACGGTTTTCGATCAGTTTACATGAATAGATTTGTTTTACTTGGTGCTTCAGTGCTTACAGGCTTGTCATGATGAATACATAAAATTACGGCATACTCTTGATCGTCGAATAGTTACGAAACACTAGAACGGAATGGGCTTTCGCCTTATTACTTGTTATTACTTGTTACTTTTTTTCTAGCTTTTGACTAAATTACAAAAGGCTGAAAAGGCACCCATGGTCAGATACATAATTAGTCACTGCAACGCCTTTTCATAACCACTAAATTAATTCAATTCGCTTTATCGTCCGAAAGAAACCCTTCACCCATGAGTCTCTCTTGATCGATCGAAAGGACTATCGCTTAACGCGTGTTGAGAAGCGCATCGCGCGCCAGCGCTATGAGGAGGAGCGTAGGGTCTCCTCTTCTTCCTCCATGTACAGAAACAGCGCTGCAGCGACTGTCCTTCAGTACCATCAATATATGATGGCTGCTGCCGCCGCCACAAATGCCCCATTCAATCCCTACGGCAATATGTGAGTCGCTAAGTTCTTGAATTGCAAATATAAATTCCGGTATCCGAATCTCAACTTTCTCTGTAGCTTCTTTCATCATGTTTTCATATTCTGTATTTGTTTTCCTTTTGCCGTTGTCCATTAAATTCTTCATATTGTGGAAGCACTGAAGTCATCATTGTTGCATCAGGTGACCTAGTTCCACGTGATTGTAACATCTTACGCTATGTTGAAGTCACATCACACACATCAGAATCCGCCACTTTAGGTTGAAAGTTGGCACTGGATGGTGGTGCATTTTACACTAAAATTAAAAAAATAATAACAAGAATTATGTTCGACTTTTTCTAGTTAGAATAAATACTAAAATAAATACTGGGGAATTTCATCATCAACTACGTTTCAACTATAAAATGGTAGGCATCCTCCGCACAATTTTTTTTTGAACAGACCAGTAAATTTCACCACTTCACAACGTGGTACTCCGAATATTCTCTCGAGAAACAGCAACACAGTACACCACCAAACCCACCCCATTTTCCCTCCGACGCCCTATTCCTTCATATCGCCCGTGATGGACGATTCAGTCGCGCGCCGCTATGAGGGCATTCAGCGTAACCGAATGTTACAAAAGGATCTTGACGAGGCTCGAATACGTGCGGTGTCTCGTGAGATCGGTGGGTCTTTTGCGTCGGCTATTTACATTTTAAAGTTAACTTGAAGGGCTGAGTCATCCTAAATTCTACAACTTTAATCTTGTCAGTCTTAATTTTTTCCTAAATTCGGCTCCTTTTAACTGCACCACTTAACCGATTCCTCATCATTTTTCTACTTTTAGGTATTACTCTCCCTAGCGGACCTTTGGGAAATGACTATAAGATTACACGCGTTGCTGCCTCAACGGGTGAGGGGTCCTTTCATTCCTGTTTCATTTATACAGTTGCTCATCTCATATGAACCGTCGGTTTCTGTCGTTTGAGCTAGCCAAGCAATCACGCTTAGTGTTTAATGATTCATTCAAAAATGCAAACGGAGTGGTCTACGTAGTTATTTATCCCTATCAATAACGAATTTTCTGCTCCTTTCGCGCTTAAATGTAGTGATTTACTGGTTGTTAAGCTATTCCAACTGGCCTTGTTTGAATTTAAGTTCTTATTGACACGATCAACACTTCTTCGTTCCTGCTATTTCTATACTTCCTCACAAATTACTTGCGGTACTAGTACACAGCTTGCTAACACATTTATGTTAATGCTATATTCAAGACCTCATTTTTCCCCAATCAACACACCCACCGGCCCCTGAGCGGAGTATATCCAAGGGCGAAGTAGTGGAAATCATTCAAGCTGGCAACAACGGCAAGTATCTCCGACTGCCCCGCACAGGTGACATCTATGTCGTAAAACCAGGAGCCAAGGAGACAAGTGGTCCTAATGACACTCCACAGCAGCAGCATGGTGAACTGCAACATCAGGCAGGGAAGGTCACTCAAGCATCCGCTTCGACTTCTCTTCCGCCCTCATCGTCGACTATCTCTCCTCTCTGTCCACGGTGTCGGCATCCCACCTCACCGAGCTGTATCTGCTCCAACACTCTTTATCCCGTTCCCACTGCGTCAACTTCTGCTTCTGTTCCACCTCCTCCTCCGGCAGCCATATACCACCCCCCCACCTACACGAATCAATATGCTCCAACGGGATCTTACGTCCCGTCCACTACGCCCCACAGCTACCCGAATTACTGATTGCCATTTGTATAGATTATGTTGTCCAGCACTTCCTTGTTGTAATTTCTATGTATATCTACTATCTCTACGCATTTATACTACCCCTTGTCCGTGATGCTGATTATTACCGTGCCTGTAGAAAAAAAATCGAAAGGTAATGAACCAGCTCTTATTCTCTGCATTTCACTCTTTTGCATGATCTGCCACTATAAATATGGTGTGAGATTGCTGTGAAGTTTGCATGGCCATCGTGCTAAACAGGGTGGGAGTAAATGCTCCTTTTCATTTATTGCATTGGATTTTCGGTCAAGTACTTTATATTTCCGATCAAAATGTCGTGTCTAGATGACGTCCACTTGGTGAATCAGCTTCCTCATGTCAGTAAGCGCCAATGAGAATTATCGATGAAGTGCTTTTCTGTTGGTTGCGTTCTTATGCGATCCTACAACAATCTACAAGAGTATTCATTGACGTTTGCTATGCTCTGTCTGAGTTCTTCAGTTTCTCTGTACATACACACCGCATTCCTCTCTTACTTATCCAAAGCCATCGACTCCTGACTCCTGCAACTCCTTCATCTCGCTTCCACGGCATGTGCAAGTAATGCTTAATCGGCAGTTAGTGTTTACGCGGTTGTTGATTTGCCTTTATCTGATGAGGCTGCATCAAGGGCTTATTACCAAGCAGTTTTATTTGCTTCTGTAGTTTCTTCGAGTTTTTCATTTACTTCGGATCTAGCGTTTAGTAAACTGCTTCATTGTTTGCCTATTGCTCTATTAGCAGTCTCTGCACTTTGTCATATAGATGGTGAATTTGAACTTCTAGGAATCATGATAGGATCATGAGGTAATTAAGGTCATTTGCAGTCCCAATATTCACTTGGCGAGATCGATTGTACGGTACAGGGTTTTGGAAGCACGACGTTCTCCCACCTCATTTGTGCGATTCAATTTGGGGATACCGAAGCAAATGTTCAATTATACAACTCTGGAAAGCTCAGAGTTTGGTGTTTATTTTCACCTCAAGTAGAATTGATCCAGGTGCCGTTGTGGAACATTGAGGACACCTTAGCATCGTATCATCTCTTGTTGGTTGACTTTCCAGACTTACTTTTGTGACGGATGACTGTTTGAAAACTGTTGATTCTAGTATGTATGATGTTGCTTTCGTTTTTTACAGCGTAATGCCAGCTAAGCAAATTTATCTTCGCTCACACAAAGAGATCGAAGAACAATTGGAGGAAGTATTTGCCAACAACGGTGGACAAAAGGTGATTTTACTCCTCGAAGGATCGACTGATATGACCGGTGAAAGCTGGGATAAGGCGTGCCAACAGGGCGAGTTTTTTTTTCATTTGCTGTAAATTTAGCGCTGTTTTTGGATGGATGATTAAATAAGATGAACAGAAATGCCTTTTTCTACGAAATATAGGGTCTTCAAACTTTACTGTCAATGAGTGGTGCTTCTCGACTTAATTGTTCACGATTCTCCTGCTTTAATAGACAACCGAATTTTCCTACAATCCGCTGCATGCTAATAGCGTTTGTTCCCACATTGTAGTTATTTGAAGTCTTGTCTCCTTTTGACAGTTGAACTATTGTTGGAACCCCTTTTGAATTCCGCTTCCGAGAAAACAGTTTTCCTTATGTCGGAAGTTGGAAATGAGGAAGCGTGAGTTTATTCGTTGTCAGCTCCTAAAGTGGTGTGTGTGTCACTGTGATTAGGAAAAATTTCTTGAATCGCCATTAGGTCATAGTACGTTTCCTTGGTTCAGAAATAATCTAAGGAATTGCACACCTGCTTATTATCCAAGTACTTAACAGTGATGAAATTGTAGTCGGCTATGAGTCTTGTAATTTCATCTCATCCTATTAAACAGCAAAGCGATACATTGTGAAACACCTCAAAACTAACTCATCCTAATGCAACAACAGCCGCCCTACTTGTTGCATCTTCTCAATTCATTATTGACTTTCAAACGCTGTAGGTGCGGTAAATACCTCAGCAGCATTTTAAGCTCTTCTTTTTAGATGGCGAGATGAAACTAACTTCTTTAAGAAGCATCCGATATATAAGTTGACTGCCATTCCAACGCTGTTTTTATTCACAGGGGTAAGCCATTGTCAAGATCGCATCTACTTATTCCGTTGAAATATTACTCACATTTTAAATCAAAAGCTTAAATAGGAACCTCCTTCTAAATGCTTGTGGTTTTTCAATGATTTAGCCGAAATCAGTGATCAAACGCCTCGACGGTCCAGCCTGTCTCGATGAGGTCGCGCTGACAGAATTCTTTAAGTAATTCCTACCTAAGTGAGCCTTCCACAACTGTGATCGTCTTCTCATTTCTTTCGTCAATGTTTTATCTGCAAAAGATCGTTTGCTTTACCATACCAATCCCCTTCTGCCTGCGGATGCTCTGTTTTCCTTGCCTTTGCTGCTTAACGTATTCTACTTATGAATCCTCACGTAATGCCCCAACAGTGGGTCCCCAAATATATTCGGCAGGAGCTAAAGCCTGAGTTCCCAACAATAAAGAACTGATTTTAAAAGCTATTTGGCGTAGCCCTTGGAATACGAGACCAGTACATTTTGTATACTTGGGGACTGAGTAGTCTCTCAAAGGTTTATCAACACTCGAAATCCATGAACAGGAGGTAACGGTGTACGAGTCCGAAACTATGGGTCCCACCTCGCCCTCGGCGATCTACTGAGTTAAGCTGTTGGCACTGTGTTGCCTTGTAGATGCCTGACAAAGTCATATTCCTCGGATGCAGGATGCATGGGAGACTTCAACCCAGATCCGATTTTCGCGACATGACTGATACAGATCCAGTGTCAAATCACGCATGGGGTCAGCATTAGAATGTAAATTGAATGAAGAACCTCCGAGAAGAAAGATGCACTTGAGGATCTAGGTTTGACTGCACGCCTTCGAATTCTTGTCCAACTTCTCTAAGAGGACATCTCTAAGAAAAGCTGCAGAAGTGCACATGACTTCAACATAATAGCTAAAGCAATCAGACTAATAGTAGCTTGACTGCAAGCGGATCTGCTAAACGTCGGGTTTATGAAGCACGAATCAACATAGGCAAGGATTATTCTGCGAGAAATCAGCACTTCCAACTCACTGATTACTGATTCGCATACTGACCACAAATTTACTTCACTGAACACGAGAATTACAGGCATAAAAATAGGAATCTATACAGAGGTACAGGAATGTCACAATTACAATACAGAATCATATACAGGACTAGTCTAACTTTCTTTGCTTGCTCGGCGTACTGCAAGGACTATCGTTTGGAGGACAATGCCCATCAGAAGTCTGATCCGAGTGGCTACGCTTTTGATTACCTCCATCTGCAGGATCGTTCATCTGTTGGGAGGCATGAGAAGTGGAAGAAGACCTGGGTTTTGTATTTATGTATATTAGTCTCGGCTGAGAAGAAAGCCTATAGGGAACATAATTTTTGAAATTTTGTTCGTGGAAAACAGGCAAGTTTTTAAGGCTCTCTAGACCCATGGCGCAACTCGGATATTTACACAGCAAGAGCGGACTCACGCGAACGCGTACAAGTCAAATATGCTACCAATGCAATGTCACCATTTAGTCAACATAGATCAAGTAAACTACAGTTGAATTTGTCAGAGATGCTACCCTTTTTATATCTGTTTAAGTTAACATGGGGCTGTCTTGACTATATATTTTGAGCTCAAAACAAAATGTATGATTAATAGGATGACTTAAAAAATTTTTCATATGGATTATCGTAGTTTAAGAAATTTGTGTTGAAGTGACTGAAGATAAAACCGTTTTTAATGTAAACTCCATCCATTTGGCACCTAAACGCACATCTTTAGCGAATGAAAGTCTGATTGACATCCATCTTGCATGTGTAACGGATATTGCAAGTGCACGTGGTTGCCTGTTTCTTTATGCGATCCAAAAACAATCGAGGTGGGCAACCCTAACATACTGCAGCGCATTTCCCAAATAAAGTCATCAAGATTATTCAGTAGTTTGTTATCACGGTGTGCTCATGCAGTCGATCCGAATACTTACCATTACTTGTTCATTTTATTCACCGAATTTCAGATTGGGCAGAGCGTCTAATCTATCTGCACACAAACTTGTTAAAAACATTACATTACTACATTACTTGTTTTGATAATCGCCAACCATGTTTCATGAGCGCATGCTATATGATAAAATTAAGCGAAATTATTGAATTTTGCTTTAACCAGACGGTAAGCTACATGGTTTGGTTTAGTGCTAGACTTGCTTGTTTATATTATTTTCTGTATCTCTTCATCCCACTTCTGAAGGCTTTATGTAATGGAACAACGTGGACTGGCTAAAGCAAAATACTGTACCTTTGTACTGCAACGTCCGCAAAATGCCCCTCCATTACTCGGCATCATCCTTTGTCAGGATGTCTAATTTAGTTCACACACCTATATTGCTATAAGCGTCAGACGAAACTGCGGTGTTGATGATGGCAAGATTCGCTGTGAGTGAGAGGTAAGTAAATATAAGTAAGACAAGTATACATCAAGTCATTTTAAATTTATGTGCTTGAACATGTTGCTTTGAGTAATGCTATTGAGATCACTAGAATTTCATGGCAAAATCACTTGCTTGGTCTCACTTTTCATTATCCAAGCCCACCGGCATAGCGATGGTGACTATCTAGGCGGGCATAGGTGGTCAGTACTTTCAACTTCCTCACACTAGCAATATCTCTGCTGAGATTTGTAATATAAAGTGGACGAGCAAATCGATCGATATCCCACTACAATGGCAAAATGCAGAATCAGAATTTGGGGGATCAATTTCTGAACCGCTTTCTTCACCCGCTTCCACTCCCTCCTCCTTCTGTAATATTGTCATAACAGTCTTTCATTCCCTTCAGTCAGTCTGTTATGTCTTTGACGAATTATCAGGCCCTAATAGGGTTTCGATCAAAAGCCATAGTTGCTTCCACACATTGTTAGACTTCATTAATTGCGTGCTTCGATTGTGCTGCTCACCCTCGATGTTCACAACCGTACTACAAATGTAGTGCTGTTGGCAAATGTGTTAACATGGGCTGCGAAACTAGCGCTTGGACAAGGAGATAGAGGCAACAGTATAGCTGGCATTGAGCTGAGAGTGTCTTGCCTCGGTCAGAGGATATAACCTCTACGAGACAGTGCAAGTGCTCTTCCTGAACTTATTATCTGTTTTCTTAGCGATAGTCTTGTCTGTCCATGGATCCGTGTTTTCGAGCTGGTTGACGCAGCTGATTAGTTCATTGATGAGTGGACCAGCTGGATGCCGTGGGAACTCCAATTGCGTAATTAATAAATCCCTCTCATTTTTTAATGCCTCAATTGATCTAGCAACACGATCTGAGTCCATCGTTAGGCTATGACCTTAACTTGTCCCTTGGTGTGCACGTGACTTTATCGATGTGAAACTAATGCACAAAGCGCTGAAACCAAATGCGGTAGTACTTCAAAAAAACATGAAAATCAACCACATGCTCCAGTGGCCTTTTGATGCCCCTTTCTGACAGTTTACCATGAAAGCACATAGTCTGACCCATTCATAGAAGGAGCTTTGAGATCAGTTAACAATAGTAGACTCACTTTCAGTTTCATGTAAAATTAAGGCCATCGTAACCACCTCTCCTGATGACCGTGACATATTCATGAACTGAACGGATGTTTTTTGTTACTGCCAAAAATAGCAAAGATGACCTACGTTTGGAGGAAAGATTAAATTGAGCTGTAGGACCTGCTTGCTTATCCTCGGGCCCCTTGAACCTCGGACTTCAGAAAATGGCTAGTTGAAGAAGATTTTCTAGGCAACATGTATAGAAAAAGGAAAAAAGAGGGCGAAGGGGGAAAACTGGTGAGGCGGAAAGCTGATGTCGTCCTGAGAACGTCTCTTCATGTTCTTCACGAAGTGGGTTTGTTTTTGAATTGCTTTACTGCCTCTCCCCCATAAAGGCGAACTTAAACGTATTAGTATATATTGCATGAACATCATCATTTTCGCACCCAGTCCCTCTACACGAAGGTGGCTAACTACATAAGCATTGCATCAAGACATCCCTGGTTTTGGTGTCCAAAGTATAAAACTGAGTTTTAAATAATAACGAGACTCAAACGCTTTGCTTAGACCTATCTTCCATTCTGAGCCAGTGTTCCAACTTTCAGCTCTGATCACACGTTTTATGGTCGATGTAATTCCCCGATTCAGCGTGTGGCTTCGAGCCGAACAACACTTTGGGACGAATTTAGGATGCTGGGGTGGGAATCAGTGCCATTAAGATCGCGCACAATCCCTCGACCACATAGTAGCCGAGCAGCACTAACCACGTTGTTGTGGCTAGCGTAGTTTACTGAGAGTAATGTCGATGACGTCACCTACATGATTGGAGGTATTTATGGCGGATAAAGTGCTTTATTGAGAATAGCATGTGTTGGGTCATGTCAAGAAATTCAGCTCTTTACATTCTACTCAAATATTTGTATCCAATATAAATATGATACGTCCAATACTGAATGGATTTTATACCGAGTTACACCGCTAATTTTGCTTCCAAGTTAAGCTAAAATTTTATAATGACTAACAAGTTAAACTAGAAAACGGCACAAAAATACACGATTCTCCTAAGAAGTTGATAATGTTACTGTTATTTTAAGACATTCAATTATAGTTTTGATTTTAGGCGCTTGTTTAAGTACGCTACCAACACAGCATACGTTAACGATCATACATTACCCATTTTCAAATGCATGGAAGGGGGTTATCCGTGATGAATCACCAGTGCATATGCAAAATATGCCAATGCGGGTAAGGTGCACACATGTGATAATAAAAAGGCGCCATAAATGTCCCCATATACATTCGAAAAAAATTACAGATGGCTTTTGTAGTGCAACTGAATACACTGATAGATACATTGGTTATCCAAGCCAGCGACCAAAACCCTTTAAACCGCGATCTATTACCGTTTTTTCCACAGAGCCATTATGTAGCGAAACAACACACAAGTACGTTTAGTTACGAAATAGTATTTTGCCGCCCATTAAGAATTGATATTTTTGGATTGTTTCGTTTTTTGGTTCGTGTCAAATTCGAAGGCATTTCTATGCACATTTACGTTGGTTTCAATGTTTTATGTAACTAGACATTAATTTCTAGCCGAATTTTTAATATTATTTGGAGGCTGAACTTAAACTTATTTTTATTTCTTGCACCGACTTTCTCTTCTATTTTTATTACTTTTTTTGCTTACTTGGCTTATAAAGCAGGATTTTGTTGCGTGCATGTTTGATCTTATTTGTAGTTTGTTATGTTATTTAATACGGTTTTCTGTATTACACATACCCCTTCTGTACTATGCGATTGATAAGTGTGTAAAAATTCAAATAAAGTAATAATGGATGGACTTTTTAGATCTGACTATGTGCCATTACCACTTGAACCTCGAAAGTCCAAAAAGCCAGAACCTGCACACATTCCTGAAGGTAAATTTGAGGGTCAAAGTGTGTACGATTCGGAATTCACAGGTGAATTTATTGTCCTAAATTCAGTCGTTCCCTTTGACATCGCACTCTATAAAACTTAATTTTGTTACAAACTACATATTTATTCACATACTTAGATTACAAAGAGTATTTGCAAATTGGATCAATGTGGCACGGTTCGCTCCCTATATCCAAGCTTTGCATTATTTAATCATAGTGCGATTTTGAAAGTTTAGGGGGATGGATCCATAACACATTTCGAGACTAAGCCTGTTGTATATTTTCGAAGTCTCATCGTGCCTATTTGAGATCGGGAATCTTTAGTATAAATCACCCGCCGGTCAAATTGATCACATTTCATGTTGTCTAATTTCACAAAATTGAATTAACAAAGCTACCAGCACTTAGTCAACAAAATACTTTTCATTCAGAATAGAATTCACATTGTTCCGTATCCATGGGCGACTTTGATAAAAAACAATGGAACCATATTTTATAAAGCGATATTTGTTGCTGGCATTGGTAACCGTAATTGCCAGCACCCTGACAACCAGTTTAATCTTAGGGAAATTGAATTTTTGCTTCTTTCGTTGACCGTTCTAGAAAAAGGCCTTGCACGAGTCTGCCCAATAAAGCCGCAGCAATGCGAAAGGACTCAGGATAGATTTTCAGGAGAAGCCACATACACAGGTATCGAACTCCATGCAATTATTCTCAAAACTGATTCTTATCCGATACAAAGATAAAAATCACGCCTGCTAGCTAGTAATTTTTCGACACATTTTTATGACAGATTTTCTTACTACGGGTGTGCCTGGATCCTGGCTGTGAATTAGCAATGGCTGAAAGTTATTAATTCTTGAAATTATCTAGATGATTGCATTATTAGTTGTGTGTGTGTTGTTGATTTGCGTCCCTAATGTTTCTCTCTAAGTGGACTACAAAGCATGGGATTTAGAGCCGCACCACAGCTACGGTCCAAAATGGGAATATCGAAAGCCATCAGCGGACTTCAAAGGAGAGCCAACTTATACCATTGACTACGTGGATCATGGTACTGTTAAGCCTCCGAGTCCTTTTAAGCCGTTGGTTCAACCACTCCAGAGTGAACCTTTTGATGCGATAACCACCTTTACGGCGGACTACGTACCTAAACATGGAGGTAAAGCAGCTAGGTGTCCAGGACCACTTGTTTTGTTTGTAATTAGTTTACTAGTGCCAACGTTTCTATTTGTCTTTCAAAAATGAAACCGCTAACAACTGTTATCCCAAAAATGTAGTGCTTATTTCAGGTCTAATAAGTAAGACACTCATTTGAGGTATATTTCAAATGGGTCCAGGTTGTCCTGTCTTTTAAGTATGAACTTTCTACGTAATATTTGGCGTTCTTAACGCTTTGAACAGATTAAAGTAAGAATTAGCCTTCCAACTGCTGGGTAGAAATGGTGCAGCTTTTGACTGGAATTCAACCAGCACATTAATTTGAGGGAATCGGGGAATATTCCTTTAGGAATCTCATATGGTGAACGAGTGATCACCTTTGCGCTGGTCTGTACAGGGCTTTCATAATGGAAACTACAAGAAATTGTTTAGTGGGCGTAGGTTTGTAGAAGCAGTCTGAGGTAGTAAACGCACTTTTGTTGCTGTCACCTTTAGGTAAACAAAAGCCTTTTCGTCCGGTTTACACGGCAACACACTCAGATTTACCCTTTTCAAATGAGACAACTCATCGTGCAGACTACACTGAATGGCCTCTTTCTCAGCAACATCATAGGTGTCCCGAGACGTACAGACCAAATGCTGCTGAATTTGACGGCCAAACCACCTATGCAACCAATTACATTCCTATGAAGTGTGAAAGAACTAAAAGTATCAAACCAGCTCACCAGAACTTAGATCCAAACAGAGAGTTTTCGGTAAGAAAAGTATTATCTGCTCATGAAAATATTGTTTCTATTTGGACTCATTTTTATCGATATGACCTGAAGCATGGGGTTAATGCTGACATTTGGACAAAAATCACGAATCACGAATTGGGGAGTTGTAAGTTTGAAATATCGTAAAATAGGAATTGTCTCGTGGGAGAATGGTTTTGGCCATTATAGATTTACTGATGAGTGCATAATGTGCAACTTCGCACAGATTTGGAGCTTCTGTCTAATGCTAAAAGAGGTTGACATACCTTTAATATGAACGCACTAAGGATTTGACGAACTACAAAAAGGAGTATCGCAAGTGGTCACTCAAAGCTTGTTCAAATCCTGCTCGTGAACCTTTGAAATATGTGCCTCCGGACGCACCCTTCGACGGACAAACGGTCTATCAAAACGAATATGTTCCCAAACAGCTCGATCCCTGTCCGGCGCTGCAACTTCAGTTCAACCCCAATGTCATTTGCGAGGGCGAGGTGGGTTTTATTAAAAAATTGCCTCTACCATACTTTATGCAGACAGCAAAAGTGCTCAAAGTTGACATAAAGGAGGCGACAGTCACGTCCTTCAGTGATACGAAAAAACTAGGTTCATTTATTAAGTCTTTGTTTTTCAATATTGAGACAAAAAGAGTCTGTAACATTACAAAAAAGCAACTCCGAAAGCCATCATGCAAGGCGATTATTATCCGGAACTGTTAGTAGTGAGTTCGAAATGGTTTCGTTGCCATGAATGCCGCAATTTCTGTGGACACAGCATGAAAGCGTTAGTACCAACTGAAGTGCTATAGTTTGTTTTTAAGATCGACAGCTCCAATGGTCATCACTTGTCTAAGCAAAGGGCACACAACTGAATTGTTTACTTGAGAAAAGGCGAACATGATCGCATTCACTTTGTGGTGGCTGTGTAACTAAAGCCTTATCAAATTGCTCTCCTTATGTTTATTTCCAGGGTTTATACAATCTCTGTCTTTTTAGGATGAATACGGCCATCAGTTCTATTCGACGCGTCCAAATAAGACGGAGAATTCATCTGCTGTTGTCGCAGCCAGTTGAAAAGAACATCATAAAAAGTGAATCATGGATGTTTAATGTTCATCTGACTTTATTTTCATTTCAAATACATCTCAATGCTTTTCTTCGTTTCCACTTTTGGTGCCTCCCAAAGTTGACTTTTGGATTGAATTCGCATAGTCTGGTCTTAATGACGCAATTCGTTGTAATATGCAGAAAACAGTATACCTATTTTTGGTACTCTCAATTGCGGAGCGTGCAACATGAGGCTCAGAAGTTAACGCGTAGGGTATTCGCAGCAGTTAAATCTGGCTGGGCACTGCAACGAGTTGGGCAGATGGAGGACCACGAAAAGAATGAAGAGATCCTGTGAATTTTGAGTAGTATAAGCCAATTTCTTATTCCCTCCCTTCCGAAGCGTCAACCGTTGCATTGTATTTGCTACCAACAGAAAAGTCTTAAAATTGGGAAACACCCACTATCACGAATAAATTTCGTCGTGGATTTTGAAGCTCAAATCTAGTGATAACAACTTTACTTGAGTTAGGTCGGTCTTCATATTTTGAACTGCTATGGAAAACGTTCGTGCAATATTTGCTTATGCAGCCGTCTTCGACTGAGTAAATTCGTCGTGGCGATCACTTTAGCAGGAATTTTGTTTCTGTCGAGTGGGTTGGATTTTAGGCCATGTCGAATTCCACCTCATCATTCTATGAATACAATTGTTAAACCCTCGTATTGTCCATTCTAATACTCAGTGAGAAGTCTTGAGGTGCTACATTGGTGATAGCGGAAAATGAACATCTGAATTCCTTACAAAGAAGAATTGATACTGGCTTGATTCGGAGTCAAACTGTTAACAGCAGGGTTGACACCTGTCCCGTCCCCACATAGAGGTCGACAAAATGAAGTTACACTAGCCCCCATTTTCATGCAACTGTGTTCCAACTCCTAGCTCCGACCACACGTGATGATCAATAGAATTTTCCGCCTCGGCGTCCTGTTTTTAGGCCGAATAACACTCTGGAAGCAGTTGAAGTTGCTGGAGTGCGGATCAGTGACATTGAGGCAATGCACATCCCCTTGGCCACATAGGAGTAATGGCTGACGCAACTAATTCGTGGGTCTTTTTCTGCAGCATAACTTATGATGGATTGCGCGGTCTACTGAGAGGAGTGCCTTGGACGTAACCTATATAATTAGAGGTCTTTGTGGCTCCCAAAGTGCTTCTGAGGAATGGCGTATTTGTTAGGCCGTCAAAGAATCCATCTCTTCATCTTCTGCTAATACCTAATGTAGATGCTTGAGACACTACAGATATCACTGCTATTGTGTACTGTACGAAGTTAAGCCAGGCCTGCATCGATATCCTTAATCAATCCTTTTTTTGAATTTCCAGATAACTTCGAAATTGACCATCACTCTTTGACCTTAAGTTTTCCGCATTTAGTTTTACGACCCGTAAGTTTTAACCACTTAGTCGATATCCATCCATTAACGTCGCCAAACTTCAACGTCATAGTCCCAAGGAACACTAATAATGCGTAAAGAGAATTTCTTTTATAATAATGAACAGATGGAAAAAGTAAGTGGACATATCCATTACCTACTTATCAGTGTAATACATATCGTTCTCTTTAAATTGTGTATTTCAGAAGGGAGACAAGATTTTAATTCGAATGCCGTGCAGATATGGTTTGAGGACTCTTCCCCGGACTAGCTTGGATGCTCTAGGTATACTTCACCTCTTGCATGTACCGGCATAGGAATGTCCATCGTCAGATTATCTTCCTTCATATAAGGCTAAGGGACGGAGGGTGAGGAAGAAGGCTTAAGTGTAGGGTATTTAATTAAGTGTTTACAGTTGTTATGGCACCTCAACAAATCTATTTAAGAAGGGTTGGCAAATGAAGACCTAACATTGTAACATACTAGTTTTTAAGTGGACTTCTACAGAAGGACGCGGGAAGGAATTCGAACGCGATTCCGGTGCGTTAGAACCGTGAGGAATCCCTCTCCGGGTAACATCTGCTATTCGATTCATATGTATTCCTGTCCCCGTTCTTCCTGTATACAATGCCTAATAAATCTACTGCAGCTAACCCTCTCTTAAAGTCCGAGGTTCAAGGGCATGAAGGTAGACAGGCAGTTCCTACAAACATAACTTGCAAATGCTGTGTTCAATTTTTATTTTAGTTGAAGAGCATCTTCTGTCAGATCTGCACTTTGACTTATTTGAATATCTCTCTTAAGAACTGTCCCAGGTATTCAGCTACATTGAGGAATCATATAAAAGGACGGATGGCAAAACTTTCAAACATTAAATATTATAAATTGTAATATGTCGAATGGATTGCAGATTTAGATAGGCATTTTGCCTCCACCGTTTGAGACAACCATCAAGACCACGTAGAGGCTTAGCTTTCTAATTCTTTTATAAAATGCATGCATTCCACACAAACACCACACTCTCCTCTGTGAAGAGGTTGGGTTCTAGAACATCCTTTTAAATTAAATTCGGAGAAGTTTCTCAACTGCTGAGGTAACTTGATTCTGATGCTGCTAACTGACTGACTCGAAAATTCGTTCGCAATTTCTCGTAATTTTGGTATATGACTAGACGGCAATTACGCCTTACCAAAATATTGCATTATAGTCTTCATATCCGTAAACATTAAATATGTTTGAAACGCAATGCGTAAAAATAATAATTTGGGCATTTCGCTCCCTTTTGTCGCGGTTTTAATGCCAAAACTTTACTAAATGCCATAGCCTCTGTGATAGTTAAATGATCTCCTATCCCTCGCTCTAGCCAATCATTCTCCTGTTAGTGAAACATCGTTTGTGCGCGAGCCCGGTTCCTTTACTAAGAAATGGACCAGAACGCTTGGGCTACTCATTGCATTGAGACGAGCTTGGCAAAGCTTACATTAAGCACGAAGTGTATTAAACAGTCAGCGTCATTTTTGCTTACGATGCCAGAACATGCAGATCTTATAGCAAAACTTTGGCTTCGAGCTTTTAGATCAGGTTGTTATTTTCTATGTACTTCTGCAGTTGCGGTGCTTTGTATTTGTAGGCTAACCGGATGATTCATTCATTAATTCTTAGCAAAACATCTTAATCGTGACAGATGCTAGTGACTTAGGTTTATTACTCGACCGCTTGGTCTTTCGGCCACTTTACATGCAAATGTACAATCTAGCTGATGCTTGACATGCCGCCTTTCTTTTGGGGTTTTTGTAAACTTCTACTTTGCGGAGCAATATAAGTGCTACTCAGATAAGTCGAGTGGTAGGGTAGTGTACACACTGCCAATACTCTGTGTTGGGAAAAGCTAAGCGTGCCTCCCGTTATTTTATCTCCGCTTTTCCCGAATCCAGCCGTTGAACCTGCTTCTCAGCTTGCATTGCTCTATGTTCTCAATGAAATCATTCTGAAATGTTCAAGCTATGGAACTCCTGAAATCAAGAATTCATTTAAGGATCCCATTATAGATGCACTGAAAATTCTTCGGTAAGATCAAGACATTATAGGGATTGCTTCCCTCACAGACCTGGATTGCTTATGCGGAAGGTCAAGAAGCTTTTGTTCATGTGGTCTGACCGGGGTCTCTTTGACCAACAGTTTAATAAGCAAATGCTACAGTTAACAGGTTGCTTTATTATATTTTCCCACATTTTCTTAGATACTTTGGATAAACGTTTCGATCGTAAGGTTAGCAATATGGAGGCTGATGGGGCTGCAAGTATTAAGGATTTCTCTGTAAGTTGTCAATGCTCATTTTCCACAAGGTACTTTGATTTCCTTCATTGTATATCATTTTCCATTCGTTATGCGTGCTTTAATTTAATGTTTCGGAATTAGGACTGGTGAGTGCGTTTTCTCCATTAAATTTTGTGTAACATTCAGGTGTCACTTTATCGAAGCAGTGTTAGTAGTGATTTGTTACCAAAACTACTTTTTGTAGCCGGACAAGCTGGTAAGCCAATTGCAGGGATTCAAGCAAATGGACGAAACAGTCAAGACCTTCTCTGAATCTGATTTGATTCCATCCTTTCACCTTCCCGACGAAAACATCCTTTGCCGTATAAAAAGCAAAGAGGAGGGCCAGTCTTTCTCTCAGCAGGTTAGGGATTCCATTTTCTCCTGTCACCCACCTTGCACTTTAGGTCAACACATACACCGGCCAACTGGCAGATGCGCTAAATAACCTGAGAGGAAAGCTCTCAGCGCAGGAGGCATTGGGTAAAAATATTGACAAAGCTATACTGTTCTATTCAGCACAGGAGAAGGAAGCTGGTGTTGTCGTAAACGTAGGCAATAACGTCTTCATTTATAATTGCAAATAATGGGTGCTAATACTAATTCTATGCAGTTTTAAACTGTTCGCTCCCGCTGCATAGCGGTATTAACATTATTTTTGGTGGTTTTGACATTACCTTGCTGTGATAACTTATGTACATGCAATTTCCTCCCTTCCTTGTTCCACTATTTGCCTTTGTGGATTGGACTCCTTAAAAGACCTTGAAGTGTGTGGTGGTTAGCTTGGGAACCACCAGTCTTTCTCCATGTCACTTATCGACGGGCTCAACGAACTGTCCGATATCACATGATCACCAAACTGGTTATCTAGCGGCAATTACTATGTGGGGGTTGTAAATAGTCTTTTGTTAACAAGTACGGGTTGTGGATGTTGGAAACCAGTTGCGTTTTAAGACAATGCACGTCTTGTCAATGCTTGGGTCCTTATGGTAATAACAAGATTTTGTATTTTAATTTAGGCTTATAAGTCTTATGAGCAGCAGGTGCGCAACACTCTTCGTACGATTCTCGGTGGTGATTGCGATGCCGTAGATCAGTCTCCGATTGTCTTTGAAATGACTATTGAAGAGGACAATGCCGAACCAGTCACCGTTTCTTCGCAAAAAAGCGTTTCCGAGCAGCACACCCGTTTCGAGAATCATGATGAAATTGGTGATGGGGGCGTTTCCGATATGTCTGAGGATGAGGAAGACGAGTGTACTCGCACTCCCTTTGTAATTCGAAATCAGGATGCAAATACTTCAAGGGATGTTCGCGAGCTACTCGTTGATCCTAAATCTCTGGCTCACTTTCCTTTTAGTAATGAAATAATAATTGATGATAAAGGGGATGTGGACTATCGTCCAATGTTCAACAAGATGCTGTCCTGGTAACTAAATTAAAATCTATTATAAAACTTTGTAAAATTGTAACAATTTTATTAACCTGCCTTATTTAGTCCCACTGTTTGTCATCTTTCCTACGTGTTTTCGAACTTCATTTTCGCTGTAGTGAATGCTTTGACAAAGTGAAGGAGACTTCAGGAAAGTCCTCTAGTGGAATCTCATGTACTAATAAGGATGCGGAGAGCAAAGATGCTGTCGTCGAAAGTGTAAATATATCCGATGAAGAAGTTGAGGTTGACATGAAAAAGTCCTCTATGGTAGACGCTTCCGCTTTAACGGAGACAGGTGACTTTGATTACCGGCAACCAACTTTTGGATCCGGTGAAGCAGAAAGGGACCGGCAAAACCCTGCTCTCAGTCATCCAACATCCAAGAACCAAGATGCCGATCTTCGTTTATTGATGCCGCCGGTAAACAAGTGTACATTTTGTGTTTTTTGATGGTGTTATTTGTGAGTTTACAACTATGGCCTTATCTATTTACTTTCGCCTATTGTTTAACGTGTTCTCCTTTGAGTGCTTGAGGATTCGCCATTCCTCCATATTCTTCTTTATGTGTAGGTCTCTGAACCTCCCCACTCCGTTGTTGATTCAGACTATCGACAATTCTGTGTACCTTCTGCTTTGCAATTGCCGTCGTCGGCAGCATCATCTTTCCCTTGGATGAATAAGGGTGATTGCGATCTTCGTCAGAGTCAGGCTGCCAGAGCCGTGGTCGCAGCCTCGGCATTAGCAAACGCAGTAGCTGTGCAATCCTTACTGCTCGCCTCTACACCAACGCTACCGTCACAACCCCTCTTTGCACCTGTTATAGCTACTCCAACTGCCCCAGTACTACCACAGCACCAGTCTCTTCCTACCTCTGTCGCAACTCCCATTTCCCTCTATCAGCAGCAACAAAATCAGTCCAACGCGGCAGTCTCCACTTCATCCATTTCCTTGTCACATCAAAACCAGTGCCCACCACCTTTAGTTCCCGTTTTTGATCTCCAGCGGACATATCAACCACCAACCACATCATCCGCGTCCACACATGTCAGCTTATCTGGTATTTCATCAGATCTTATTTCGACCTTGAAGAAAATCAACCTTCCTGGCGTGTCTTCAACATCTGCTCGATCAACCGTACATCCAGCTTCAAGTGATGCAACAATTTCCTCTAATCCCATTTCAGGATCAAATCAGGATATCAAACAGGTGGATGATAGTACTACAAAATGCAGAGTTGCGGGGCCACAGGATGAAGATCCTTTCACTATTATATCTCGACTGACTGGGCTATCCAACCTTATTCAGTCGTAAGTTACGCTTAACTCTTCCGCTGACTAAAACAAGGGTTCGTATTTTCTTTTATGCGTATGCCTAGCTTCTACTCTCAGGATTTCGTCAATGCACAGATACGAGCGTTTCATTATTCTCTAAACACTTGTGTTTGTATGTTGCCATTTTGTTTATTTGTGCAGTCACTCGCTGTTGGCATCGTCTTCCATTGTGAGTGGGCCTAGGTGTTTTTATTATCTTCGCATAAGCTGTTGTCGTTCAATGTTATTACCGATCAACTTGAAATAGGATTCATTTCACTAACTAGTTTCTCTTCAGAATGGTATGACTGTTGGCTTGACCCTGATTTCAATGCATAATTTTCGTTCGACACCCCGTTATATTTAATTACTGAAAAGTAGTAGTGACAGCTGTTAGTAACAAGCCTTTTTCCGCTTATGATACTATTCTCGCTAGAACCTATTGTGCTATCGTGGACCTTATGCTTCTCGAAATCTATTAACGAGAGTGTTGACATCGTACCTAACAGTGGCCTGGGTGGTTTATCTTTGCAGATGTAGGATGGCTTTTGGGTAACCATCATCATTACTTTCAGTCGTCAATGTAACGTAGACATTTCGTGACCACATATCCAACGCGTTAGTATCCTTACCTAGACGTATTTTCTCAATATCAGGTTGTCCTCGATTTCAAAAAACTTCGCAGTTCTTCAGGGTCATTTACCATTGTATTTATTCGCTTTTTTGCGTACACGTAGCTCATTTTGACTATGGCTGTTCCGGTCACCGCCACGGATATCAAAAGCTATTTGCTTTACTTTCTGATCTTTAGATACTTGTGCTGTTGCTTCCAGAAGGGGCAGGCACTGCAGCAAACTATATGTTGTCAAGGCATGTATTGACCCAGCCCAAATATATGTATTTAGCATTGTTCTTTTCCCTTTAACTTACATCAGTCCAAGAAGATGATTGGGTATATGCGTCAGATGATTCTTCACTTGGACCTTCTCTCAATAGTACTACCAATTAGAGGTGTACAACGCTTGTGCTTTTTATTAAACGTTGAATTGGTGAGAGCGTGTACTTACCACGATCATAACGCTCATTTGAACTGCAAAGTGGTTGCAACCTATGAGTGATAGGAGCCTTAACTTAAATATCTTTGGTATTGGTTGCTTCTATTGCGTAAGTATATTTTTGCTGGACACCGAGAACCATATCAGCTATCATAGAATTGCACGGCAACGCCACATCTTTTCTACAAATCCATTTTTATAGACGTCTCGCCATTCTCCTCCGCCTTTGCAATTTCCCCTCATACGTACAAATCAGAGGACAAGACCTTCACCCAAATAGTTGTAGTCGGCATCGGTCTTGTAACCGAATGATTCATTACTTGCCAGATGTATAATGCTTGCACCAATGCTGCTATTCTTTGATAGAATCACTCCCCATCATCCAAGACAACAAGTTCTCATACTGATATCGTGTATTTAGCAAAGCCAAATGAAAGTTACGGATTGGAAAACGTAATTCAGAAAAGTCCAGGACAGCACATTATTTGCTGAGATGGTTCACTGCCTCTAGCGCAGCAACACAACTGTCTGAATAGTAGAAAATAAAGAAGATAATTTCTGAGATCGTCAGTGGTAACTGCGGCCATTGCCTTTGTGCCTTCAAAAGCGTATGCAGAATGATCTCTACCCATTCGTATATATGTTTGAAATCTGCGTGTGACCCTATCTTTCTACGAAGTTATCACAAGCAGATTTTACCTATTTATCTTTCGCTTCTTATTCCCATTCATTAGCACGAAGGAGTTATGTTCTGTTCGAAACCTATTTACATTAGCATTACTTTAAGAAATAGATGATTTGAATTCTCTTTTTTATGTTCATTATTTGTCGCTCTGCTATCAATTGCTATAGTGTTGTTGCAGAAACGGCATCTGAGTAGCTGTTTTTTTCACCTCTTCCTCAACACACTGTCAGATGTCATTTATCTATCAATTTTTTCATCTCCAGTGTTAAACCAACATCGGCGTGTACAGCGAGCAAATTGGTCAATGAAGTAACTCCAGCACTATCGAACCCTGAGGATTCCTTACTGCCGGAACTTCAGACGCCGAACTATTCCGATAATTTGAGCGAAGAGGAAGCGGAGAATGCTTCAGTGAAAAAGATAAGTCCAAACTCGTCCCCCCGTCCTCTCTCGCCAACGGTAGATGCTGTCACGAGTGGCGAAGATTTGGAGCAGAGTGAAGATGGTGGAGCCACGCCCACGCAGGATGAATCTGAAACACTGAATGATGGTGAAATTACCGTTTTCCTCATGAATACAGCATTTAAGTAGTGATTGTAGGACTGTTTAAAGTCGAATTTTCATTACCACCCCGCATAAAGTTAATGATTTCTTCAAAATGCATTAGGTCTTGCAGGCCCACTTGGGGTGTTACCTCTCAGTTGCTGAATTATCTTTCTTCAGCTGTCCCAGGTTCCAACTGCTTTACATTTCAAACTGGACTGGGCCCCAATGTTCTCACACAGGCTAAATTCCCGCCTCTCATATCTCCAAAGTCCATGCACCCACCACCTCTAGCAGGGACCTCGAATAATCTGCTCTTACCATTCCCTCTGGTATGTGATTTTGTGGTAGTCAAGAAAACAGCTTCCAGAATATGCGATTTGAAATGGTTCCAACAGCTAGTCCGTCTTTAGGCTTGGCCTGCTTCGATCTCTTGATGTTATGCTCATGTTTTAGCGCGAAAGGTCGCTTGCTGCTTTGATCTTGAAAAAGCGTTCGAAATTGCCCAAGTATACCGTATCTCATACCTCACAATGTTATTAACTGCAAACGTGTTGCTGGTATGCACCTTATTTTTTCTCAGGGAATGCCGCCTTTTAACCCAATAGCCGTTGGACCGACTCCGCCTGTCCAACCACCTTGGCCTACGGCAACGTTGCCAACACATTGCCCCAATATGTGCGGAAAGCCTCTACCACCTCAAGCATTTTTCCCTGTTTTTCCTCCCATGGTACGCCAATCGCCGTTCCCTAATCTTCCTACAAGTCAGAGTAGTAAATAGGCGCGCTGTAGATACGAAAAGTTCTTTTCTTTATTGTAATTTTCAGTAAACATATTACACTATGGCATCTGTGTCATCCCACGCAATCCTGCGGTATGAACACGCAATAGATTGGTCGAAGCACAATAGTTCGCGTAGATAACTGTTAGTTGCCGCCTTTTGATAATTTGAAGGACCGTAGTTGGCGCGACCAATAATATGGTGGAAAAAAAGTGATAGAAAATAATAGGCTTGAAATTCAGTTTGGTATTGCTACACCATAGCTGTTTAAGAAAGTACTCCTCGAGAGGAAGGAGGACATATGTCTTTGGAAAAATAGGCAGACAAAAATTGGTCTCGTACTTTGTTCCACGGTCTCAAATTCTCAAGAAGATCGTTGAGTGAAAGCTCTTGAAAGGGTTCTGCATGAAAGCATTTCTAAAGACAGGAAATGAGTTAGTGTGCCGTTTTGCCTCTGCCTGCGATTATTTGTTGCGTGATGCAACATGGAGGTAGATCAATATTTTGATAAGGACGAAACATTGACTATATCATTACCGAAAAAAGAGTATTAGCAAATGAAAGAGATAGAGGGGACAGGTAGCCGAACTTGCATTCAAAACACCAGGTTCATACCACGCCACAGCAGCAATATGACCATTGGGGAGTTTGTGTTCTTCGAACGCCCACTCGGCATCCACTACCCCAGGATGAGAACACCTAGGAGTAGTTCCCGAAAGATCAAATTCTACCGTGGAAACGTCTGTTCTTAAACCAGTTCCTATGTTCTTCACGAAAGCCTCTTTCAGGCACTAAAAAGGGCAAAGTCGACAATTCATAATTCTAACGGAACACACCCAAAGCCTGAAGAAGTTGTAGATCTTCTCAGTGTCCTCATTGCTCGCAGAAGTAAGTAAGTGCCATTCGGAAGGTGCAAAAAGCGACTTCATTTTAAGGAGAAATCCAGCAATCGACTCAAAAGCAGCTGAAATTAAAGATACTATTTTTTTTTCTCCATTAGTCAGGGGCGTTCCAATCCCTAGGTTAATGCCACGAAGTTTCAGTACGAATCTCTACCCAGTTCAAGGCCACTTTTCAACACACAGTGAATTGCATAAGAAGCGGCCAGATACGTGAAGATTTATGTCAAATTTAAGGCCTCAATATGGTAGCACTTCTGAGTCGCATCAGTATATCAACTATGATCAATAAAGTCGAACATTACTTAAGAGATATCACAGATGCAAAATTAAAACCTAAAAAAAGCGTAATTTCAGAGCCATGAGCTTTCGGAGCGATGGTCGATTCTGTAAAATTCATTTAAAATAAAGTTTCTAGCACCGTTTGCACCGCCAAAATCTTAAAGTCTACATAACATCCGAAAGAACTGTTTGGAAAGCTTACGCGGCAACTCCATCTGCATTACGTCAACACCTGTTCGCATTTTGTGGCAGCAGGTCAAAAGAGTGAAGTCACCATGATGTGAGACGTTAAAATCAAAACCAGCTTGTCCCTCAAGATACGGTCGACCGTATGCGCTTCTTTTTACATTCAGATTAATAGGATCTAAGTCGAAACAGCGCCTTGCCACGTATAGGATCAAAAGTCGCGCGGCCTAAGGAGTAATATGCGCTTAGAGTTAGAAGCTTTGCGGTAGTGTACAAGTAGAGGAAACTTCTAATGTTTAGGGTGAAAGCTCCACATTCAGTTCCTCATCAGATTAAGCAAAAAAGTTGATTTTCCAAGCTAATATATGTAAGCAATGTAGCTAAATCTAGGGAACTAAAGCAGGTTTTCCGGTAAGTTGTGAAGTCTTTTAAAAAAACGTCAAGAACTAAAATTGGGTAGTAGGTGCACCAAGTAAGATTTAACGTCACGTTTGTATGCAAATTTCAGAGCATTCTCTTGATCGACGGTTGATAGACAACGGAAAACATGAGACAGTTGTATATAACTTGGATCCCAAATCCCGTGGTTGAAGGCAAATCGCCACATCTAAAATAGGAAATTTTGTCTTGGTGCTGCTAAACATGTAAATATCAGCAGGTATGGATTTAAAGAGAAATGATGAATTTTGAATATGGATAGATAAAAGGAAATCCTATATGTAAAGGTGACCGAATTACAAGATCTCACGCAGTAAGCGACTCTCGAGGTGACCGAATCGAATTCGAAAAATCATTATTCTGAGAAAACTGGTTTGCCGATACACAAAGTAGCCGATTATCACAGGCATGGCAACAATGAGATCTAGTTTGAACAACACTAAACTGATAAAGAATTTGATTCTCAAATGCTCATTACAAAGAAGAACTATGAAAGCATAAATTTAGCGAAAGCCACTAAAATGTGAATTAACTTCAATAAAATGTTCTTAGAACACACCGAGTAGTTATATATAAAAAATTTTGTCACCGTAACGACATTCAAGAAGCACATAGGCTGGTAATCGTTGCCCACAATGTGGTCACCATGGTCTACGACTTCGGCAATCATTATGAACACCATCAGTGTCAAAGCATAAAGCAAAAGAACATCTCACGATGTAAAGAGTAGATATCCAAAGGGTCTTGACCCCTGCAAGTTCTATGCCGCATCTTGAGCAACTCACCAACCCCGCCGGCAATCAAAAATTTACAATAACGTGCATGCTAATAAAAAAACAAATTACTTATCGCTAGCATGAACTCCAACTGTTGCGGTCTCTAAAAACGTAATCAAAACTTATCCTGTGAGATCGACCACATAAACAATATAGTTACTAGAAATTAGAGGGTACTCATTTCTGTCTTTTTAGGTCGTAAGACTTAACGCTGCATTTACTTTTTAACGACCCTTTCGAGGCCCAAAGAAGATGAAGTAGCCTGTAACTTCTGATGTCAGTGCAGCTTATTATCTGAAACAAACATTGTGTATGCTGCCCTAGTGACCGTGATCAAACGTACCAAAAACCATATACAGCATTTAAAAAGGTGTCTTCCCTTTCGCAAGATGATCTAAAACCCCCTTTTGATGAATTTTCCAATACATTTGTAATATTTAATTTATGTAACCTATGACGTTTGGCATTCAATTTAGGTTTTGTCTGGCCCTTGTACTCGTGGGCTGGTCTCGGGGCCAAGCCCAGATCCATTTGCTCTGTTCTTTTTGGGACACGTATATCGGGCTTTCTTTACTACCTTCTTCCACCCTATGGAAAGGCTCGGGACACTACACTCGTGGCAGTGGAAAGCAAACTCGACAATTTCGCAACGACGTTCTCCTATCACGTACCGTTTGTTGCATGTACCCATGATGTGGAGGAGGCACATTTACCTTGGTGACAGCGAACCCCTGAATCCTTCCCAAAGAAAGGATTTTGACGGACGCCTGCATTTGGTTTCGCCTTATTCCCGTGTTCAACAGACAAGCTATTAACAACTGAGTTGACACCACCGTTTCATGTCCGAATTTCCCATACAAAATCGTGTTTGGGTGTCGGAAATGACATTACGACTCTCCTTACATACGGGAGAGTGGCTCATCCCGTTTACTCTGTAACATACCTCTTTTAGGTCAGAGTTCCACTGTCTAGTCCTGGAAGCAATTGATGGTCCAAAGATGTATGTGTAATACTTTGTTTATGTGACCACATGACGTTTGGCGGTCACTTTAGAGTTTGTCTGACCTCTGTACACAGGGGTTGGCCTTCGGGCCACGCTCAGGCCCCGTTAGCTCTGTCATCTTCGGAATACATGTATTCAACCTCACTCATGCCTTCTTCCATCCTAAGGGAGGCCTCGGGATGCTACAGTATGCGGCCCCGAATCTGGCTGTCAGACTGAACATAGCTCAAGTTCCAGCTGAAGCTGCCAAGGAGACCAAGTACATTTCCTCAGTCTCATGGTAGGTGTTGGCTGGCGCGGTTGGCTCCTGGGTGCTCTCATGCAGTACCGTATATGTTGTGATGGCTGGTGCGGGTGGTGTATGAAGGTGAACGCCGGGGACGTTGCTCAAAGGAGGAGAAGGGCAGTGTAATACTTTGTTTATGTGACTGCATGACGTTTGGCGGTTACTTTAGGATTTGTCTGGCCCTTGTACACGTGAGCTGGCCTTCGAGCCGTGCCCGAGCCCATTTACTCTGTCGTCTTCGGAATGCATGTATCCGGCCTCACTTGCCGCCTTCTTCCTCTCGATGGGGAATCTCGGGACGCTACAGGCTTTACTAGCGCAGCCTTCGAAAGTGACCCTCGAAAGAAGATAGGTATTGCCTGGTGAAATGATACTTGGTTAAACTTCGTGTTTGGGTATGTAGTGCTTTGTTTATGCGACCACGCGTGGGCTGGCCTCCAGGAGAATTCGGGGCCTAACTCTTTTGTTCTCCCTGAAATAAATGCATTCAACTCCACTTTATATCTTCTACCTAGTGAGAAGTCTCAGGATGCCACAGGCCGCATTAATGACTGCGCGATTAAGTACTGCTACTACTGACACTTACATGCAGATTTTAAAATTGCTCTACGCATGGTGGAATGCTTGCATGCTTTTGTGGGATTGAAGTCTCAACCGGCTTTCCGTGCGCAAATCTTGACATTCTTAAGAGCAGCATAAGGCGTGCAAATGCTCATACCCCATGCCCAAATTTGAGTATCAATCTGCTAACTTGGCCGCATATAATAATAACAACGGCGAATTTTTATACCTCCTTTATTTACCCTAAACGGTGTCTATCAGCTTACAATATATTTGCGCTGCTTTTTGAGGTTCCTCCAGAAGCTAAATAAACATACTAACTGACTTGATCTTGCACATGTCACGTAGCAGGAAAATTAATATTACTGGCATGGCTGCTTTGGCATTCCTTTTAGCAAATAATATTTGTGGGACCAATGACTAAATCTTTTTATAAAAGTACACAAAGAATCTTTTAGATTTTCGCCCATAACCGCAGACACTTTTTAGTTATTTGCCGTTTGTTTTAATATTGGGTGATTGGCAAATAATACAGTGGCGTTACTTGCGATTTTCTCGTCAAATCTACACGGCAATCGTAGTGCCTGAATCGTTTTAAAACTTTGTGTGTTTGTATTAGTTTCTACAAAGTTCCTACTTCCAATATTCGGTTTGTGATCTCTCATGTTGAAAAGCTCTGCATTTGTTCTCATATATTTTGATGTTGATCTTTGCTAGATGTCACAGCGTTCCTGGGTTTTTTGACAGTTTGTTGGGACTGTTATTGTCTGTGGTAGTTCTTAGGTAATACTTCATGAGTGATTAAGTGGATGTTTAAAACTTGTCAGTTGCCTGCTCTACTATCCTAGTTCCTCCAGTTATTCGGTACGTTATAGTTTTGTAAATTACCGTGCTGAAATAATCTGACGTTACGTCAATGTTTGTGACGCTATTCAGTATCCATTATTTGTTTAATTATTCCGTTTTACAGTGAGCTTATTGGTGATGGATCTTGATTCGAAGGCTATTTTTCGGTAGTTATAGTTGTCGTCACTAATTTCACCGCGCTTTTATCCCAACATCATCTTATATATGTTGCCAGTCAAGACTGTAATTTCCAGTGTTCATATTCGCATAATATGAACCCAAACAGATTTTTTGCCAATAGTCTTGGTTCAATCTGTCTGTTTTACTCAAATGAAGTCACTATACGCGTTTAAGCATTTAGTTGGGGTTGTAGCGAACGATAATGAAGCTAGAGAATTATAAGAGCTATCAACTTCCATCGCTCAGTTGCGCAAATGGGCTTGAAGTCTGTGAAGGGACTACATGGATTATTCCTTTGACCGAAGCGTTGGCTTGACAGAGCATGAGTGGGGAAGTGCGATCCTGACATGATCCCGAAGCAAAGTGCAACTAATTGATTGCAATGTGTGGGGCATTTTATCTACTACCTGTTTAAATTCTTGTAGGATGTCTTCTTGTGGTGTGACAACACTGACATTTTGTTGTGCATTTACACTTTTTAATTTTGGATGAGAGTTTTAAATGTAGAAATTCTTTAACTCTTGCTTCCTCTTTTTTGTAGTAGCCGAACTTCTCTCTGCACTCAACAGACCTCGGTATGTTAAGTTTCCTTTTGATTGGCATAATGAAGTTTTTTATGGTCTTGTTATATTTATTTGTCTGTATTGTTGGTTCTCGGAGAGCATATCTTTCCATCTTTGTGCAATCCGTTCACATGGGACATTTTACAGCGGCACCATTGGCTTGTGTAACCGTTTATATTTGCAGGTGCGGTTATTGCTCCTGTATACTGAGTTCCCCCAATTTACCCTTGATCAATGTTCATCCTTGTATTTTTTGGTTGAGTTTGGTGCCTGCTTTAGATGCTTTATCGCAATTTGCTGCTCTCATCGTAGATAGGTGATAAATCGCGATTCGCACCTGGTTTATTCGGGTTGTTACCTTTACAATAAATAGTTTGAATGCTTTACCTTTGTTTCTATACGCTTGCTGTTGAGGACTTCGTACTTTTTGCCCATCACGTTATTTTCATTTGGTACGCATTTGGACCATATTTGCTAGTTGAATCATTCTTGAGTCAACCCAATTTGTTGTTTACGTTTCGATATGCTTGCATTTTGCATATACGCAACAGCATAGTAGTGCTTGGCAAATAATTAGTCCGATTTTAGTATTTAATGATAATTTGTTGGTTTTGCATTTTTACGCCGACAGTTTTGACATTTGTCTTTAACTTACCAATATATACCTTTACTTGTGAGGGATTCCTTTCAGATTTAGCACACTGCAACAGTCTTATAATCCTATATCTCTTTCACATGTGATGCCAACGTAAAAGTATCATTCTAACTTTAGTGACAGATGGATTTGATTTCTCCCCTCAAAAGAAAATCCGAAAGTTTATCAATGAACAGTGAATCTCCTTCGAAGGAGCTATCAATTCAGAACATTTCCAGCGTATGTGCAGTTTTTCGCCGCCCATATTTAAGTCTACTGTTGATGCCGCCCTTACACCTTTTAATGGGATTGGAATCGCTCTTCAGAGTTTTGTTGCTTATGACATTTACGCAATTCACTTCTTTTATGACACAATGAACATTATACTCTTTCTTGCAACACTTTGTATCCAAATACTAATCAATTTTAGACTTGCTTCTTTAAGGTTATGAGATTTCTTATTTTTTAATCAAAGTTGACCGAATGCTCAGCTTGGTGTTTTGGGTTTGTCTCGTCCCCTCCAGCTGACTTCTTTGATATTCCTCTGGCTGGAAACCGACTTACACAGATCTAGGCTTGAATTTTTTGTTGTGGCCTGGTTGTGACATCACATCTGTCATTCTTTTCGTCCCTTCAACTGGGCGTATTTTTGAACTTTTTTGTTATTAATGTTGATAGTAGAAATTCGTCACTCGATCTTGCTATCACTTCAGAATGTTGGCTTATCGATGTTTTCTGCAATATTACTTCTAATTGCATTCTTTGACGTTGGCTCTGTTGGAATCACTCAGACTATTTACAGTCGAAGACACTAATGGCGCATAAACTTTATCTGTCATGGTAGTATATCTGTTTGAATGGTACAGAAAATAAGGCCATCGTATAATTGATTGAAATCATCTCATTCCCTTTCTTACAAAATATTTTGAGCGTACTTCAGGTGTACCTTCAAATGTTCCAATTTTACCAAGAATCCTGCAGTTATGTCCATTTATGCTTCCTCTATCGTTGATTTTAAATTCATCTTAACCAGACAACAAGAAGTCAATTTGGACAGCAAATATTTCATGCTTGATTATTGCGAATTTCAAAATGTAGGTAATTATTGAAGTTGTGTGTTTATAGTGTACCCTATCGGTAGCCGTGATTATTTATACCAGAAATCCATTCTAAGTACCCCGGAGAAACACACGAAGCTGGAGTCGACGGGGTTATATTCGGAGGAAGGTGTCCCCGAGGTGATGGTGACAGAAGATGACGAAGTGGAAGAGGAGGAGGTAGAGGAGTTGTTTGGTGATGACGATGAAGACGAGGAAGAAGGAGAATTGGAGTTGGAGGAGGAGGTTGATGAGGAGGACGATGAAGAGCAGGACGAGACTGAGCGTCTTGCTGAGGTTCTCGGTGTAGAAGTGTTCGAGCGGAACAATGGTGGGAGTGGTAGCGCTGATCGGCGCAGCGTCACCACCGCTGACCAGCAGGAAGAGACTAATCGGGCTGAAGATAGAAAGTTGCTCGCTCTCATGGCTCATTTTAATGATGATCACTTGAGCCGGTTTGAGTCCTACAGACGCGCCACTTTTACTAAATCTGCTGTTAGTCGGGTAGGTCCCATGGTTGTCTCTGTTGTTGTGTGCGATTGCAAATTGAGTTTCCAAACCAATCAATACAAAATGTCTTCAGAAGTGACTATGCTTTTATCAGAGTTTTCTGGGGTAAGACGTTTTTTGGTGGGAAAAGGCATAGGAACTGTATTATTAGTTATAACAACTCTAATTTGTTATTTTGAGGGTGTGAATGGTAATTATCTACATAAGTTCACGCATTTAAATTTGTCAAGGTAACTATACAATTAATGACCACATTTTGTCATTGTGACTAATTTTTTTTATCTTTTATGCTCAGCTCATCCAGTCCGTGGCACAAACTTCGTTTTCCCAGAATGTTGTTATCGCAATGGCTGGAATTACAAAAGTTTTCGTCGGTGAATTGGTTGAAGCAGGTTTGTCTGCAACTGATTAAATGTATCACATTTGTTGACCTATATTTTGCCATCGTAGTTACTGGTTGTTTGCAAAAGTTAAGTAGGCATAAAATCATACAAAATATTTTACTCTGCCATTGCCCTGGCGCTGACATTCAGCAGTCTTCTTGTTTCCTTGTCGCAAGTGAGTTAATTTGTCAGGTATGTTACCTTGCTTAGATTAGCACTTTCACATTGTTATAATTTCTTCGACTGTAAGAAATGCAAAGCATCCTATATAAGATAACCGTTTGAGGCATAGCTCTCCAGTTTCCTTTTTTGCTATCTTGTAGCACTTGACTACAAGGAGGAACTGCGGGAAATTGGACCCTTGCAACCAAAGCACATTCGTGTGGCTTATGCTCGATTAAATGCACAGGAGCGTACATCTCGGATGAGCTGTCTAAACCCTTTATTGTGATGCACCTCCATCGTTTTTTATTGCTTCACCCTTGCTTGTCTAAATAGACACTGCTTTTACCTATGCTTTCGGATTTCCTGTAACTTCTTGAGTCTGGTCGGTGTGATGCCCGAGTGCAAGGTAAAGACGTCCATTTCCATGTAACCGATACTGTGTAAGTTTATTACCATTTAAGAAGCAGACTTTGGAGGATTGGGGTTCAAACTTTTTCGTCGATTAACCAAAACCATAAAGCAGTGCCAGGAGTTTGATCCCATCAGGCGTACCTGTTTGTGTAATTGCAACAAGTGCGATTCGCTTTTGCGTAGACTGACTACGTTTATGTTTCCAAATCTGGAGCATCTTCGACGGAGAAGTAACGCTTCCGTTGACGGCAAATGTCTAGTCGGTGATGCCGTGTCGGACTAGATAGGATGAATTGCTAGCTTTGGTTCCGCTTTTATGAGATATGGCTGGCGTGGTGGAACAGTTGGGAAAAATCCAGCTAAACTCGAACTCAAGGCATGGACAGCTTTTGACAGTAACGTTCATGCCAAAATAGCTAGTACAAAGCGTATGATAGGTTGTCCCTTCCCGTTGCTTAACGTCATGGTTAAACTCAAATAGGATGTAAGACTGCAAATTTTGTACAAGGAACAGGAGATCCTTTAGTCTTACATCACCGTTTCCCATTCCGTGTGTTGATTTCACGGTCATTTACATTCATTCTCATAGTGACAGTGAGAGTTATTTCTGCACCTTCAGAGGGATAAAATTTATTTGGTTTTGTATGCTTTGCTTTATGCCCGGTAGCTCGATTCCGTAGCATGTGACTTCAGCATCAGCACGTGAATGTGGTGGTAGGGCGGTTCTGAAAGTTGTCAGCAGTGACGGGATGGCTCGCCGTTGGAATGCAAATTCAGAACCCTACAATGCTTACTTGTCGCCCAGTAAGTAAAATTGATTTACTACATAAACTACTACTACTATTACTGCATAAACTGATACTGTGAAAATAGGATGGTACGTATGATACCGTTCTACTTCTTGAGATTGATGATCTAGCTAGTTTCCAATTAATTTCAAGCATACGAATGACCCAACAAATGGCATACCCTATATACTATAAAATACACATGATAGATCTTTGGTGATCTCAATCGAGTGGGACTTAATTAAGGGCAAGTAGATCAACTGAAACCGGAGAACGCCTTTTATACTACGGAGTTCGGCGACAGATGTGAGCGTCACTACTGCGGGGCGTGTGGTCAGTGTCACCCAACAAGCAGCTGCGCCTCCATGCGACTGTTGGAGCATGTGACGGGCACCAGCCTCCCTGACGCCGCATTCCATGCCTCAGAAGCCTACGTTATTGACGACTATGCACAGCGACGCTTCCAAGCGGAACGACACAAACTGCGGCTGGAACACCACTGCAAACCCACGGAACCTTTCCCCTTTCCCAGCGAAACTGGTTGACTTTTTTGGTTCGATAATTTGAATTAGCGCCTGTGATTAACTCTAAAGGCACGGAAATAAACACTTCTCCACCAGGTTTAAGTGGACCATTTTGGGAAATACCGATGAAATTTCCCACCATTTTCGAAGTGCTACTACAGTTTAGACCAGTAACCTTAACTTTGGTCGCTACGATTTTAAATGACCACATATCCTCAAACTTGTCACTTTCAGTAAATAAGCGAATCGCATACGTTACCAGATGAATGTCTATACCATGTGGAACATTACTCAAAGGAGTCACCGACGGTTAACCAAACACCGATTCCTCGTCCACTTATATGCTGCAGTAATGCTCCCTTTTAATCGGTAGATTAGTAGCCCCTGCTAAACCGCAGGTCGTCAAATCTGATGTCACTCACCTGAATCGATCGCCACGATAGTCCTCCCAAGTCGAAAGTGGAATGCAAGGGAACAAGGGTTATCGAAAAGATAACTTAGGTCAAAGAATGATTATATTTTACCAAAATCAGGATCTAACTAGGTTAACCATTTTTGGCAACCTAGAGGCACACTGTCTCCCCCGCATAGTAGAGGGGAGCGGGGAAAACGAATCAAAGGTCAACGAGGGAGAGCTTGCAGTAGACACTCAAGCAAACTCTCCGGTGTCGCTGACTGGCAGACAGCCATTAGTGGGAGATTTAGGACTTCAACCTTCGCTCCGGTAGTGGGTCCGATTGCGATTATCTAAAAAGGTGAAGACCAATGGAGGATAGAAAGTCAAGTGATGTTAAAGCTCTACTCAGACATCTCTCTTGCGAATGGAAGTAAATGACTTAAACGACTAATACAACAGTTAACGAACATAAAATTACACCATGAATAGAATCGAAAAAAAGTGTAAATAATATAACTAACCTGTACGGCATAACCATTCTGAGATAGGAATTTGGATAAGATGGGGTAGGCCAATTCAACACCTGATGGACTGAAGAATACCAGATATTGTGGATGATTTTCGCTCTTCTACTGATTACACAATAAATTAGGGATTCAGCTTAAGTGACGGTCGCAATACTTAACAAAAGGCAGCTCACCTTCAGAACAGAGAGGAGCCGCGTCTCGAAATTTGGATTTGGATTAGAACTGTATATTACGACTTCTTCTACTAACAAGCCTACGGAAATTTGCAACAGAGACAAGCCTACCGGCTTTACGTAATCTATCCGGCAGAACAGAGCTATGGCGTGCTCCAGTAAGCAGGAGAATAGGTTTTGTCGACACTTCTTCAGCATAATCATCGATGATGAGATTTGCCAAATCTCTGGCATTACCAGTATGGGAGCCTCTTGGTTTGAATCCTAACTTACTAGCTAAAACATAAGGGTTTATAAGACCCCTTAATCCTTGTACAAAAATGGGAGAAAACTCCCACCAACAAATGAATCACTTTTACATGTGCAATACTATTGTACGCTGATTGGATCCATGACTCGAACAAAACACGATGATCACTTGGATATACCAAAAAATACCACAAAGTGAATACCTGCAGAAGATGTGGCAGGTCCAACAGCAAAGCATAGATCCTCAGGGAGACCTTTGTGGTTCAGTATTAAGAAAGTCAAAAAATACCGATTAAGTTTGTGGAAGCGTACGAGAAAACAGCTCGCTGACTACAGAAAATGACACAACTGTACGAAGATCTCCACTTGCAAAGTCGTTCAAAAAGACATCCACATACAGAAAATGACAGTGTTTCAATAACCTCCACTGAAAATTCACGAGACTTTAAGAGCTAAAACGAATGACAAATGAAGTAGTAGCTCACATTTATATAAGGATCAGCGTCACAAGAATATGTGCCAGCATTTGTGGATTTAAGTAGGATGACTTCCATGAGGTAACCCTAACAAAGCAAAAACGTGAATGGTATTTGAGTTGGTATCGTTAGGTTACGAAGGGTAAAAGCAAGAGGCGTAGGAAGCAACTAACAAGCACGAATTATAACACTCGAAATCGTACACTACTCAATGTACAGAGCGAAATGCACCATAAACCAGAGTCGCATGATGTTTGAGCTACTAAAGTAGCTTTGAAAACAGGCATTCAGTTGCTCGTAAGTGTAAGTTAAGTTAACCACCAACCGCTCAACCATTAAAAATAATTTTAAAGCGTAGAAAGCCGTCATGTCAAGCGTGAAAGACAAGAACAGCGTAACACACCAACAACGACAGAACCCACCTATTAGCCTAACGAGACCCACATTATTTTACCCGCCACAAGGGGTGCGCACGTATAACTATTGTGAGGCCCCAATACTTTACTTGTAGCTGCACCATTTGAATTTTAAGAAAGTGAGAATGACTTGCGCTGAGTTTATCAGAAGAGGTTAATAAAGGTTTAAGGCATCTAAATTATATGGAATGCGTTTTATTGCATGCTCAACGCCAATTAGGTTGGCTATTTTAAGTATCATGCAAGAGATTAGGATACCACTTTGGCTACCAAAAGTCGAGAATGCTGTGATTTTCGAGAATCCTTCTATATTTCTAAGAATAGACAACCTTTAAACATTTTAGACATTCGGCTTTTACAGTCCGTTTTGGCGATACCAAGCCATCCATGATAAATTCAGCATGCATATGTGCGTACTTAACACTGCTGAAATCGCATTCATCTTGCAGTTTTCTCGGCACTGCGGCGTAGTGCCTGGACTTCGAACAGGCCACCTAGATTTTTAGTAGATTTCACGGACTCTTTCGCATAAGGAGAATACCTCAACATAAGAAAGACCCTTAAACATTGCTGCCTTCGTGGCCTTCGTACATGTGCAGCCACATTTCGAAAGTGAAAGCAATTGCTTAACACATACTGCCGCCTCACTGAACGTTGATTTTTACTGTGTAGACCCCATGAATGCGAGCCCGAACCCTGCCATAGTTGCAATCTCAGTTACTAACTATGCCATCACATTGTTTGACTTGAGGAACATTATGTGGTGAACGAAATATGATTACTCTGGCCCTTTGGAGAGTTGCTTAATTTTAAACTGTTAACATGGAATAAAAAGCAGTTGACCTCATAAGCAGCATGTACATGATACCATCACCAAATGATAATAAGAAACTCAATGAATAAGTACAGCATCGTGCAACAAAGACAAGTGCGGATTCTTTGCAAGAAGCAACAGGGAAAATGTTTGCCTTCCTTGGTTCCGTGTGCGGTTCATGGAAAATTGAGGAGAGAAGGGTGGATATCGAATTTGTGTCCAAGCGTTATGCATCAGTTGATGAGAATTGAGGGATTGAGTGAATGAAAGGCAGTGGGTAAAATGCACTCTCTTTCGCTCTTTTTGTTTACAAAATGATCTGGATTTAGGATTTGGAAACATCTGAAGCTACCGATGCGGTAGCTCGCGCAGCGTTGCTGTGCAACGGAGGCGATCGCATCCACCAGGAATTCTGAATAGTGATAGCATCGACAACTGCACTCAAGTGCTTTGTAGAGGTGATTTCACTAAACTGTTTTGCCCCGCTGTTGTACCTAAGTGCAAAAAAGCGCATAATAAACGTTCAGTACATGGGTGAGTCCTATTACGTTCGATCAACTGCAATGCTGTTACGTTTAAGTATAGGTGAGTTAACTCATATGATCAGTTGATGCATTCATTTTTGCATTCAGTGTAATTACGCTGTTCAAACGCTACCATTCACCATAATCTTAATTATGAAATGTTTAAAATTGAGGTTAGTGAGCGCATCTGACAATTCTATCAATCGTTAGTGGTAAAGCAATAAAAATTGAAACGTCAATTTACTAACTACTACCTTGAGAATCTGAAGCTCCTTGACATAGCATGGGCTTACTTGAAAAATTTGTCGCACATGTTATGCGTGATTTTCCGGGGGCCATTGCCGCAGATGAATTTCAGTTCTTCTGTTTCGAAATCGAAGGCGTATAGAGCACGGTATTGGCATCTGCTGTCTCGGAAAAGAACAATGAAATGCGATCCATCCACAGCAGCGAGCTCCTACAAAAAACGCATGATTCACCCATTTGTGCACTGCCAAGATTGATCAAATTATCACCGCTTTTGAAGCATAAGCTTGCAATAGTCAAGGAAGTGTAGCCGCATGATAGCAGCAAAAACGGAACACGTGGCGGTTGCATGCTCGCAAGAGTTACACACATTGCCAGCCCACGACACTGGATTAAATTTTTTTAAAATTCGCTCCAAAGCATTCAGGAGAGGCGGACGTTGCTGAACAGAAATCAATTTTAAATAGCGGGATAAACTCGAGGGATTCCTCAAATTCAAAAAAACCTAGCAATTTAAAAAAAAAACTTATTCAGTGAAATCCAAAACTATTATGCTGAAGCAGTTTTACACATGCTACTGACTTAAACCAGCAACGAGTGGGGAAATTGTGAGTAATTCAAGTCCTTACCGATTCACAGTCTATTTTAAGCTACTTGATAATCACAGTGTCAACTGCAAGAATGCCTCTTTCAGGATGCATCAATATGCCGATTGAATATGAAGAACGAAATGGATTCAGCTTACCTGCAAAGCTAGCTTTTTTGCAGGTTCATTCACGGTTCCAGCAAGGCAGCAGTGTGAAATCGCGTTCACAATGACCTGTCTGTTCGACTTCGACTTTGGCTTTACGTAAAGACGGGGTTGCGGTTGGATGCCAGCAAGTGGGAAACCAGGTCCGCTGTATGCACTTTCTTCACCATTCTCCAGTCGATGAAGAGCTAATAAATTGTAAGTCTATGTTAGCCAACCATTCCTTGGCAAATAAGATTATTCGAAGGTGTTCATGGCAGAAAATAGGCACCAATGTATTATGGTCAAGAAAACATTTACTTCACAGACTGTTATTGCAATCTCCCATGCAACGTAGACTCAATGGTGCGCAAGCAGATTTGCACTATCGCAACATACCGCTTAATGGGGTAGATTTGTTTCGAGTGAATTTTGTTACAGATCAGGAGTACAATCAATTTTATGAACCATGTATTGATGAACTCGAAACAATAATATTATTAACGTTGACGGGGGAGGAGGAGGAGGAGCCTTACAGCACCAATTTTTAATTATTTTTTGAACAGTGCATCATCCAACTGACGCTAATTTCAAAAGACATGCACGGAAGGCTTACAGGAGAGACTGGGTCCATTACTAATTTGATTGACAGACCGTCGTGACACGGATCTTTGGCGCCCAACAGATACAGCATCTCTTTTTTCATTGGTTGAAGTCACGCGTCCAACAGTAGTTGATCGGTTTCCGCTACTCGATGTAACCGAGCTGCGAACATTTGAACGGCTAAGTGAAGCCGACCGTGAGTTCCGACCGCTACCACCAACTCGAGCTACACCAGCAGAAGGCTTTCTGTGTGCAACGGTAGCGCTGGCGGAAGGCTGACGAGATCGTGCCAAGGTCGGACAGGTGGGATTCAGAGGAGTAGCTGAAGCCACCAAACCACCTTCACTATTGCCGGCTGCCCCGTCATCATTAGTTGTATGCACGGGAAATCCTGAATTTTCGGACTGAACAAAAGCAAATCGGACTTCTCACCCATGTTCACAAGTTATGATTAGCGCTAAAATAGGCGATCCTACATAAAGGCTAAGACTGAAGCTACGACGAATAGTCATATAATGCCATCCTTCAATTAATTCAATCGTTAATAACTAGGACAAAATGCCTTTCTGCATCCTATCAACTAACTACGTCAAAGTTTATTCAGTAGGAGTAAGAACTTCACCTCTATATCAGTGGGAAAAACACCATCAGCAGGAAGAGTAGGGACGTTTCTCGCCATTTCGGACAATTCTGCCAAGAACTGAGACTCTTGATCAGCCATGCGGGCACGCAAAGCGCTTTCGGTTAGCCTGGAACGATCGGCAGCTCTGCGAGCCTCGAGACGCTCTCGCGCTCGTTGAAGACGCTGACATTCATTCAAAAACACGTTCAATCAAAAAATAGTAAGCATTCCATATCACACTAAAGTCCTCAAGATTGTGCTCTCAGCAACGATGACTAAATAATGCAATATTAATAAAATGTGGAAAACCATTGCTTAGAAAGATTACCAAAAACTAATAGTATTACATTTTACAAAGACGGTAATACTCCACCGAACCCGTTAAACTAAATACCACGGGTAGAAAGGCAAATTCACCACAAATCTATGCCACCTAACGTGTTGAGCAACTAGGCTTTGTTCTATGAAAACTCACTATTGCGCAACATTTCAGGTATCATTGGGAAATGGATAAGAGAAAAACGAACCTCCGATGTGGGACTTTCGAAAGTGATGAAAAGCTTTTCAGCAGGCTTAATGACCTCGGGCTCGGGAGATGGAGATTCGGTTGCAGTATGGGTGTGATTATCTGATGTTTTTGTCTCGAGGGGTGATATCGGTTCCAACGGATTGATCTCTGGAGTCTGTAAGTTAATGAAATTGAGGGAGGCTGTGAGATGCGGGAGTTCATTCGATTCCATACAAGCATTCATGTAGTGTCAATCATAATTAATAGCTATTTAATTTACTTGTGGTATCTAGTTTGATAAATTAGCAACTCATTTCATCCCACCTTTTATCCCGATTCTACGAAAACCTGCTAAAGTGCTTCCATATTTTAACGCGTACTCTTACGCTATTATTGTGAAAAATACTTAAGGCAATTGAGAGAGAAGTCTAATCAACTCGTATTCGCCTCGTGTACTATCACTTAACATTAACGATAAGTATTTTTTAGCCAGTAAGTGTGCATTAACAGATGGGAATTCCATCTACGAAAAAACACGCTACGATATGCGTCAAAACAGTACACAGATGCGTCCATGGAAGCAAACACCGCCAGCAGATTGAATAATTCACTGATTAAAGAATTTTATCCATGTTAGAACCATGTCAGCACCAAATTTAAACCGCAAATCGCCTTCTGAGAGCAAGTGTCTATATCATGGAATCTGATGCAGTGTCTTTGAAAGGTATCGCCCCATCCTCTTTGAACAAGAGCAATGGCAAGAAAGTCAATGTAATGGGGATGCGTAAGTATAGATACAGTGGGAACAGGAACTTACAGAAAGGGAGATTTTATCAAGTGCAGTAATTTCACTGGTCATATGGTCTGGAGAATCGGTATCTCTGTGATCGTTATCGTTCTTCTGTACGTTGCACTGAGAGGGATATCGCAGAGGCATCCTTGTGCTCCACATGGCGCGGGTGCTGCTGGAGGGTGTGACAGCCAGATGCAAATGGGAAGAGTGGGGGGATCCAACTGGTGGGACAGGTTTCGTCGGATCAGTGTCGCGAATGTCGGTGCACAGGAAGAGTTGCTGCGCAGTGAGGCGTTCAATGTCAGAGCGAAGTGTAGTTACTGAACGCGCAAGTTCTGCGATCACAAGAGCGTCCAGACCGGTTCCCGCAGACTTGCCTAAGTGATTTAGATCTAGCCGATGCGGACGAGGAGGGAGGGTCGAGTTGCATACGGGATAGCTAAATTCCTCCCCAGAGTCAAGAGCTCCCAGTTGTGAACGGCGTAGACGCTGATTTGAAGGAGTCCTTCGTCGACTAATCATTAGCAGAATGCAATAAAAAAAGCGATTTCATTATGCAATTGTATCTGAATATCCACTTAGCTTGATCTACCCTACGTTTTTGTGTTTTGGTAAATAAAGATGTGTTTTCCTTTTAAAGTCAGTAGCAGCCCAAACCCACCCACCCGTGGCATTTTAATAATTGTTTTGCTAAGATTTATCACTGTTAGTGGTGGGCTGGGTTGAAAACAACAACAACAATATCTTTCTGCGGGGATCAAATAAAATCAAGCGCTCTTATCTTACTGGCAAGAGCAAGGCGTTCAAGAATAAAATCGCTTGGTAAACGTGTGGCAATTGCACGACTGATACGATTAAAACCGAGGTAAGTCAAAGTTCAGCATCAAGCAAGAAGAAGTCTTCCATGTCGAAGTATAGAATGCTCAGAAAAGAAATTGATAAGTGAAGAAGCGCGAGAGACGGCATAGCATGTATTGTTAAACCAGTTAACATAACCAACTTAACTGAATTCGTTGAAGCCTAATTGTTAATTTTGTAAAAAAAAATGCACCGTAAAGCTTGAAAAGTATTTGCCCAAAGAGCTGTGGGGCCAGTATCGCCTTAGAAGTTGAATGAATTAGGACAAATTTAATCAAGCAATCGTAACATATTCACGAGTATGGAAAAGTCATCAGGCACTATGAGTGAGATCATGAGGCCCAAAAAATGCAAAGTAATGTAAGAATCGCATTTAATAGAGAATTATGTGAACTACTTGGGTCTTGAGAATGTTTCATTCTATTCTGTAACGAGCTGAAACTTCTAACAAGAAGCATAGAGGAAGGTGCTGGCGTAGCTTACTCCAAAAGCAAATGTGCGCTAATGAACAAGCAAGGTATGAGGCACCCGCCAGTAAAATTGACGCCCAATCATCAACCACCACACGAAGGTGAATTCGTATTCAAGAGTCGTCTCACAGCTAACCACTTCACCCAACGTAGGCATTCTCAAGCCCTCTATGCTAGCAAGCTCGTTCGGAGTCGGGAGCATGCACTGATCACCATTTCTGCCCAGAAGTATGAAAAAAATATGGCAGAATAGCTCATTGTTACTGATCAACGCCTAGAACATTGTACTTTTTTAATACCATAAATAGAATCATTTAAGAGGTTATTTTATTGCATTCACTCCATCCCTTCGGAATCGGAATGGCTTTTTTTGCCGTTGTAAAAAATTGTGAGTTCAGATGATTGAAAGCCAAACTGAATGTTTTAATTTAAATTTCGAAGTATAATTTGCATAACACACACTTGGTACAAAATCGACGCATCCGAAGGGCAGTATTGTGGAAGTTCGCCCAGAACCAATCTCCCTGTTCCGCTACAATTGAATCAGACTACCAAAAACGTTTAAAGGAAAACTGTTCAAAGCACGATGAGGACAATCGGACTGCCTGAAGAACTCGACCGTGGAAGAGAAAGTGCCTTCTAGGAAATCAAAATGTTCAGACACGCTAGGGCCTGGATTAAGTTCGAAGTACTCTGGACGCCTCAATGCAACAAAATGGCAACAAATTTAAGTACTTGTCAAGTAAAATGGAAGCGTGAAATCAACGGATTCGTGCCTGTTGTAGAAAAAAAGAATCAAACCCTCACATGGTGTAATGTACTACGAAAGCGTCACTGGTCGCATGACCGTCAAAGTATTTTGACAAGTTAGCTGTTATTTACCCTTCAAAGTAGTCGAGAAACATCGTTGCCCTTTTTTCCGTGTGTAAATGGAATGCACTGACGGAGGGTGAAGTAAAAAAATACCACCGCGTTTGCCTTAAGCATGCATCATGTGCAGGGAAAAGATGAGAGCACAAAAATAGTCGTGAGGTAGTGCAATGCCGCCGAAATGCAGCTCACTACCTACTTGTCCCAACGCTCATATGCATAAAGCCATTTGTGATGGGAGTGAGCATCAACACATGTTACGCTCAAATCGTTCTGTAAATTGCTACTCTGCCGCAGGTCGGCATGACGTGACACGTCATTTCACGCATTGCACTGTGATTGTGTGACCAATCCCTCATGTGTGGATGTTGACTAAGGCCTCCACCAGTGTGACAATCGCCCGCGAGTGTGAATGGGGCTTGAAGCGCGTGGGTTGGCCCTTGCCCGCATGCTTACGCGAAAAAAGTGCCACTCTATTGGTGCACAGCGCCCACAAATATAAACGTCGATGATGCCGCGGACTGCATCACCGACTTTCAGCTTCCACACCAGAAATGGTGTGCGCTTTCAGAACCAACAAAAAAGCACCGAAGCTAAACTACATTCGATTTTCTTGCACATTCGCTATTTTAACAACTATTTTGTCGCATAAATTCTAAGGCCAACAAATTAAAGTCCAATTAATGCTAGCACCTGATGGACGTCTCCATATTATAATTTATGTTTTCAAAAAATAAACGACATTCTCCAATGGAAAAACTGAAAATATTGGTCCAAAACCGCCCAATGTAGGCTATACCAATCGGTCAAACAGAAAGTAGGAGGTTTTGATAGATGTTACCATTTGGCGGCAAAATAATGCATCCCCTGTTTATAAGTAAATAAAACGATCAACAGAGAATCCCAAAGGAAGCTTGACATAGCTAACCCAAAGTGACTATTCCAGTGGATCTCCGAAGCGGTCTCATCGACGAAGATGGCATCGTCTTCTTCGCAATCCTCAGAAGAGAATTCTCTACTATGCCGATAATTATTTCCAGAGCAGCAGTGATATCTCATTTCACGTGGGGGTTTGGGCGCACGCCGTCTAGGCATGGTTCCATAAAGTTCCTCATATTCGACATTCCCTTTGAAAGAACCATCGCCTACGTTTGCCTCCATCTGCCCTCTGTGCCTGCGTCGAGGCATGGAATTGTAGTAGCCTTGGGAATTGCAGTGCGAGCATTGGGAGCAGCGACTTTCGGGGTGATGAAGGTCACGAGCAGAATGTACAGACTGCTCATAATTGGCGCGATGGTGGTGTCGCCGATCGGAGACAGAGGAGTGCCCCTCAGAATCAATTTCTTGATTCCGCGATGAAGTTGACGATGGAGAGCGAGAGGATCGTCGACGGTTCATCCGAGGGGTGGGGATTTCTTCCGACTGAAGGCTTTTTGCAGGAGATGAGCAGTGAATAGGGGATTCACGGGGTTCCTGAAATTGATGAATAATAGCATTAAAAAATACTAAGGGCTTGGATTATGAGGGTGGAAACAGCTATCAAGTGAGGTCGTTAATGTCACACTTGAATCGCACCTTCTGGTGCATACGGTCTACGGGTGTGTTAAATGGGACAGACCTCACGTAGCCTGAGGTCATGGCTTTTATTGAACAGGATTATCAGTATTTCAGCCGTTACTGTTTCCTTAAACATCAATATAAGCTTGAGCAAGGATTGTTTTGATGCTCTGATCTAAAACTCAAACAGATTTAAATAGCTCTACGCGTAGTCTCTCGACCATTTTATCAACAGATGATCTACTGATTTTATCCATCAAAATGTACTAACGATTCAACGCTATCATTCACTTTCCTCAATTCATATCAACGATCCAATTAAGGATTAGTAGACCTTACCCCATCCGATGACATTTCCACTTGATCAGGTACACAACTAGATGAGAAATCTTCCATATCGGTGGCTTCTACATCTGGCATCGAATAACTCGAATAATTTTGCTCGGATTTTTCCTTTACCACGTACTCCTCCTCTTCTACTTCTTCTCCAGCAGACTCTTCCGGAGGCAGATCACTTTGACTCACAGTAAAGTCGTCGTTGTACTTTTGCGAGATTTCGCTTTCTTCTTCTTCAGCAAGAGAAGGGCCTTCGTCGTTAGCACCTTGACGACGACGCTTCTGTAAGGTAATGTGCATACAACACATGCGCACACACGCGTGCACTTGATTTAATCACACGCGCCAACCTCAGCCAAGAGCCAATCACATTTGCCCCCATGTCTGTGAGCACGTGCAAAAACGTGAACAGGAGCTGGTGGGTTCACGTACAGCCAAATATGCAAATACCAGCCATATTCATACTCAAAGGTAGAAAATATACACCCGTTGACTTCTATGCCATGGAGATTGACTGAAGACCTCCTCCACTCAATTTAGGCTGATGTTATGTGTCCGTAGTTAGTAAATGCACAAGTGACTCCAAAAACACCAGGAGAGGAGTAGCCTATCAATGCATTCAAATACTATGCCAATAAGAACAGCATACCAGGGATAAAATTAGCGTTTTAAAATGGACAGAGATGGAAGGAGAGGTTGTACCTGAGAGGAATGGAGGAGTGCCAGAAAAGCAGCTTGGTTACGATGAGCGACAATCTTGTCGCCTTGTCGGAGTGCTCGTTGCCTGTTGGCCTCTATGGCGCGGCGCTGCTGATCCAGCGAGAGTCGCAGTACCGCTGAGCCCCTACCAGTCTCCGCAGGCGTTGCCACCAATGAATGACTGCGCTTCCCCTCACTTTGCCGAGCCTTTTCCGTCCAACTTGTTGGTATTACGAAACACAGATGCAACCATTCAGCGATTACCGGTGGCAATTTATAACGGTACTGCTGATGCTGTAGCTATACTACTCCGAAGCCATACCCTTCCTACGCACTCCGGCTGAGCATAACAAATAAGGGAAACAACAATACGAAATAGATTTTACATTTGCCGATATTCCTTAGAGCCTATACTAGATAACATTTCCTAAAAAAGTGTGGTATTTAAACGAACCGTATTCCTATAACAGTAGGATTAATCATGGGAATTCATACGGGCCATCAACATCCTCTTGTGCTCTTCGAATACAAACTTGTACGTGAAATCAGAATATCCGAAGAGAAGACAACTCTGGTGCCAAAAGTACTCAACAGTAAATAACATAAATGTGCGAATCTCCAAGTTTCTCGTGTTTCATATGACACCAAGACCATCAAATGTGCACAACCAATAGACTACAAGTTGATTTGTAAAAGCACCATACTAACACTGAACAGTCATAATGTTTCAATAAATAAATGCGCTCATTGCCAAAGTACACCAACTTAATCTGTCATATGCCTTAACTACAGTACTGAAAAAGCTGCTCAAGTAGTTCTTGTTCAGAGGCACGCAGGGCAATTGGGTGGGTTGAGATTGCATTGGAAAGATCTGTGATAGTCGGTAGTCATGCTCATGCATTCCTAGTGGCCTTAGAGATGTCATAGGAACTTTAACTGCCATAGAAGGGCCAAACCGTAGGGTTTACAGGACTGCAAATTCGACACAAAGGCAACTAGTACAACCCTATGGCAATAAGTGCAGCCTTGAATTATTCCAACTCAGCGATTACTATGAAAGAAATCATTATTTAAGTTCAACTTAATTAGCTCTACTCGAAGCTCAAGGAAATGAAAATGTCAAATATGTAACCACCAGTTTTACATAATTTTTATGGTGTCATGCATTTGTGATATCAGCACGAAAAAGAAAGGCGCCACCGAAAGTTAGTATTCAATAATTCTATGGCTCCATTTATTTTCGTGTGCCATTTTAAGATTTCCACAATAAACGTTCAGTCGCAAGGAGGCGACTGACCACCAGAAGGAACGTGAATTCAAAGAAGCGCTGCCTCAGCAACATGAAACACAAGAATGAACACCTAAGTGGCGAAACCCATGCAACAAATCTGTGAAGGCAGTGGCATTTGATTTAAAAGAAGAGAAATAGAAGTGTGTGTGCAATAAATGGCTATTGAAGTTAAACGAACGGGCGTCCAAAACACAAGATTTAGGTAATGATAGAAGACAAAAATGTACTTTGTCTTTCCTGCTTGTTTGCGATTTAGAGAAACTCCTGAGTCGGTCTGTGAACTGGAGAGGTGGGCGGCAGATGCAGTCGTCGGAGCTTGTGACGTTGGCACCGACTTTTCTGTTGTACGGTAGGGAGAGGTAGAAGTCATGAACGAATGAATGACGCAAACACGGAAATCGTTGGGAAAAACGAGATAAAGTTTTTTGGCATTCTAGTGAATCCTTTTATAAATGCATCTGTTGCGTTGAAAATAGCCATGAAGGAATAAACATGTACTCAATTATTAACCTTAGTGAATACAATATGCGAAAAGTTTCATAAACAAGATAAAATAAATAAAATTTAAAATTATGAATGCTAATCCGAAAAAAAGGATTTGCTCACGAAACTTTAATGAAATAACTGAGGACACAACAAAGTAAAAGAACGGCAATGGAAAAGAAATCAACTTGTAGCAAACCAGACTTCAGGTTTGGCTCTGACTCTACGCTACTTAATGATGACTGAAATGTGCGATTAATTCAATTCTGCTGGATATGAAAGAAATACTCGCTCGTAGGCGTTCTCCGTCCATTGTGTCCGTTAAAAAGGTCCGTAATCACAAGAATGTACACATCTCATCGAGATAATCACAAACAGATACCACAAGGCACCGTCCAAAAGTAACCACCCTACCTGCTTTCAGGTCCTTGGAGCTGGGAGAACTACCAATTCGAGGAATCGATGACTGAACCAAGCTTTTACTAGGTGAATTCTAAAAAGGAGATGTTGTTAACTTGATGGAATTCACTTGAAAGGAACTCGTCTTGTAAGCATACATACATAAGTTGTTTACCAGCATTTTAAGCTACTCTACTGGTGCTCTGACGGTGAATGTGGCTATGAGGCAATTGAATCTTAAAAATGATGGCAGTAGGCAAAAAACGTTATCCACAATCGAGTGAGCTTATTCAAACGTCTTCCCAAAATTGCTCATAACTTTCGTCCGCACGGGGGCAATTTAGCATAGGTACCGTTGACGTACTACTTCAATCCGACCGTCCAATGCCATGAAAAACCGAAAAATTTTATGAATAATGCGACAGAATTAAGCCAAACCTCATCAACCATCTATTGAAATGCGTAAATTTTCACCATTTTGAATGCAGAGTGGGAAGGAGACCGATGAGGAGAAGCGCTGAAAGCAGCCTTGCCATTCTTGTTTAGGAAAAATGCGTTTATGTTGGCACTGCCCGAGTTATTTCGCTTTAGAGAAGGAGAAGGTTTGGGAAACACTTTTATTTTCTGTGCATCACTGGAGTCGATGCCGTCACCGACGGGTGAATCGACAACAGCTAAGGCTGCAGTACAGGCGAGCTCACTCAGAAGCCCGTCCTCCCGCTGTTGCTGTTCGGTCGACTTACTCCCCTCGGAAGTATCAGAGGTTGTGCTGCTGACCAACTGCTCCACCGTATTAAGATCCACGAGTGCGGCTGGAATATTGTCTGGATTCGCTGGTCGGGCTTTCTTTGCGAAACCGCCGGAAGAACGGACAAGACTCTGCAGGGCAACTGAGTAACAAATTCATCACTTTAAACGAATATTCCCTGGTGCCTGACTTAGTGCCGAATTGTCGAAAAAGTGGGCAACCCATGAGTAATTAATGTCTTTACTTCCTAATTAACGTGATTCCTACAAAAACCTGCAGAAGGTTTTAACGCCGCACTGTTTAATGACCCCCATTTTAATTCTGAACGTTACCTGAATTTGTTCCTTCTGGTACTTTTGCAATGAAACCAATTTACATCGTATTAACAGCCTTGTAACTACCAAGCCTTTTTCTGGCAGGCAAACATAAAAATCCATCAAGATCATTTCCATAGACAGCGAGACTATAATTGTGGTTTGCAACCCGAACAAAACAAACTGTATAGATGCTATTGAGGTTGACGAAATGACTTTACCAACCGGATTGGTGTGACAATAAAGTTAACCTCTTACCACGTCTAAATTGAAGTGAAAGGAGTAGAACTCGTTTGTTTCAATGCTTTCATCCATGGATCGCAGCGCATTTACAAGTTTATTTCAAACGAAAATAAATCAACCACCGTCAAGGGAACGATAAGAAAGTGATGCGAAGTATGCTATCAATAAGAAGAAAAAAGCCCTAACGCATCTTAGTGCCATTACAGATCACTAATCAACTTTTAGAGCAACGGAAGACCGTATGACTTTTGACAGTATGCTCAGGGCTATAGGAAGATATTGTCAAGGAATTTGCGTTTTGAAGGTTTAATTTAGGTGTATACGCACCACTGTTTCGTAGAGCGGTCTCTGTGGGTGATGTAAGCTCTTGAGAAGGGGGCTTGGGCTCAAGGTGAACCAGTGTAGAACCCGGCCATTTAGCCCCCGTAAACCAATGGAAGAGGGCTGCACTCGAACAGAGGGCTGATAAATCAGAGAAAACTGGGCTCGTGCGACCCACAAAATGCGGCAAAGCGCAGAGGGCAGCGGTGATTAGACAGACGTGGGGTGGATCCGGTTTGCCATCACTTCCCTTCAGTGAGAAAAATATCTATATTTTATGATTTGAAAGAAAAACTAATATTAAGTGAATGAATTTAGGACTTCACTGAGAATATTGAGTGCAAAATTAATTCTGTGAAATATTAGGTGAGTTGCAAGAGAACACAACCTTTTTCTCCTCTAAAATGCCTCCCAGTGTGGCGAAGAGACGCCGCGCATTCAACTGATCGTCCTCCAACATTGAATCTTCCCTCATTGGTTCATTCGCAGTGGACATTGCAGCCAATTGCGCATCCAGGCAGGGAACTATGAGTGTTCGAGAGGAGCCAATCACAGAATGAAAGTTTCTTTTCTAAGATTAGGGCGAATGTGTGGCTTTTGCACCCCACCGCACCGTTGAACATAGCACTCTAAGTTCGGCTCCGCCTATTCACCCAGAAACTTCTCGCAAAATAATATTAGACCATGCAAATCACTAACCATTCTATGCAATATAAGAATGTATACAGCATCTAATCAGGACAAATATATGGCAATGACAACTACAATAGTAATGACACCTCCACTGCCGTTCTAAAAAAAGGTGGTGGAAAGTTGAAGATACCAAGTAAAGTTTGGGACAGGGTCATAGTAATTGCTAAATCGTCAAGTACCTGCATCTAGCATAGCCCTGGAATGCGATGGCACAATTTTCTCAATATTGGAGCGATAGAAGTATGCTGCACACGAGAGTAGGGATATCAGACCAAGTCCCCGAACAAGTACACCGTGGTCAATGTTCCTGACCTAATTGTTGCAATTAGAGTGATAATGTGAAGTAAAGATTTGCCACTTGCCTACCAATAAATACTTAATATAAAGCGTAAAATGAAAATCAAGCGCGAGAGAAAGAAAGGCGATAATGACTGTCCAAACGGCGGAGCCAAGCCTATAGCCTCGGAGTGCATGGCAAAACAGGGCATTTTCAATTAGGAGAATGTACATCAAGCACATTTTCGAAATTCGGATTGCCGAGCCGGTTTCTAATTTTCGGGCTAAGGTATGGCGACAAACAAAAGCTTTAACGCAAGGAATTTTTAACCTATGTGTACTCAGTCATACACACACGCACATTCTCACACCGTCTAGCACACTCGAGATGGATGAGTACACGGAAAGATGATGACTGACGGATAGTTAGGTGTGTGGATGGATCGTGAGTGTTAATGAGACCCAAGCGTAATCACTTTTGGGTTTTTTCAAAGATCTGTAAACTGTCTTATTGATAGCAATCACAAAATCTTCAGACACTTCGGGTTTTCCTTCCTTACAGTACGAATACTTGAAACCATTTAAATGAGTTGATGGACTTCAACGGACGAACTTTGAAGGGGACTGAGTCGCATCCCCCAATAAACAATGCTTTGCGTGACATACGGATAGAAGGAGAGGGAAGTAGAGGTTTGGATCAATGCTTTTATGCCTTTGGCGTTTATTTGAACAAAAACAATAGCATAGAAGATGCTCACGCTCTGTTTCGACACCTTGCACAGCGTGAAAATTTGTGCTATGCCAGCTAACTATCTTACAAAGAGGAGGAAGACAAAAATTTAAAACTCGTTTTGGACAGTTCGAGGTGTGCTAAAATAATCAAGTGAAAGAAATGGTAAAGGACAATTGAGGTCTGGATAACCTGCGGTATAGCTGTATCGAGTTTAGAGGACGAAACCTGAAATTGATGTTATTAAACGAGTATTAGTTAAAGTTCCTGGACAGAAATGATCAATGAATTGTACAAAGACCTCGAAATTTCCGACATTACAATATGCCGGATTATTGGGCATTATGATTACTAACTCCTATCCAATGTTAACTTTTATTCTGTCAAAAAGTAACTGGAATGCACAATTTGTTTAGAAGAACTGTACTGACAAGCCCGTAGGTAACCTTTGAAGTCACGGAGACACAACACATCGGAAGTGGTTTCATATGAGGTCATTCAAAGCTAATAGAATTGTCAAATCACCATACCTGTCTATTTCGCAGCAACTCCGGCACCACAATCCACGCAACTGACAGTAACCATAAGTGGATATTGCAACTGTATAGTTCCACCAACTTAGGTGAATGTGGCTCGGTGGGCTGGGAAGTGGGCAAAGTAACGAGGTTTTCTAATTGTGGATGCTCCTTAATAAGACGCCTTAAAGTGATGTAGAGAGCAAATTAGTAAGAAACCAAATATGCGCATGAAAGTGGTTTCGGCTTACCGTATCTCGACATCCAAACTCGCAGGAGCAGCCAACTTCGTAATGCACAGCCTCATTAAGGATTCAATGAAGGCAACATGTGTTGCCTAAAAAGGAATGAGTTAAATGTACGATTTCAATTACTCCAGACAATAAAGATTGCATAATTGAAGCATAAGGAAATAGGCGGAGGGCTCAGTTGTATGCCTCCTGGGGTTAGGACTTTCTGAATGCGCAGTTCGTTATGCGTGATGACTTCACAATCAATGGAGAAATTTTAACCACTTCTACAACACGTTGAAATCTCTTCGTAATGGAAACGATAAGCTCAATATGCAAACAGTAACAAGGCAAATGCAGAGCACTGGCATTGGGAAGGACAGGGAAACTTAAGGTCTACACCTTAAAAATGCAAGATGAACCTGAAATGACCCCAACGAGTTGTTACTTGGGCAGTAACAGTCGGTTAGTAGAAGATAATGTCTTCCACAATCGAGTGATTGACTCGTTGGGATGAAGTTGAGTAATAATTCGGGTTAGTGTATCCTACATTTAAATGCGAAAACCAACACATTTTGATCTAGATACGTATTGCTTTGGTTTCTTTCATCCTAGGGGGCTGTCTCTTGGTGAGAACACCATCAAATCCGAATGTGCTTAAAATTCAGCGAAACATGAATTTGCGCTCATTGCAGTTAGCAAAGTTTGAGAAAAAGGGCCAGAAGAGGTTCTCACCCTTCTGCAATGAGAAAAAGTGCCTCAGCAGCATTGAGGAGTGCGCACAGTTTTAGGTTTGCTGTAGCTAAGGTTCAGCTGGTACTAAAGGACTGCGGAGCTGCAGAGCTATGGGAGATAGGACTGAACTGCCAAAGAGGAGTTCAGAATGAATTTGTCCAAGTAAAGCACTTGACAATAAGAGTATTAAAATTTAAGGAAAGAAGAAGCACCATTGAATAACCCAAAAGTCTGCAGTGTCAATGCTAAGCTGAATGAAAGCGAATGGAGTAGAGAGGGTGGACAAACAAGCAAACAAATGAGTTTAGATGAAATCTGTCAAGCAGTCTCATTGGCCAGTGGTCATCGTAAGGACTCGGTTGTCGATGTATTAACCGGTTATGGTGGTAGACATCGACACACGTCCCTCCTTCAGTGATAGGCTAGTTCTCGTAAAAGTTGTGTTTACTTAAATCTTATTAGGAGCGTTTAAAACTGTCAACTACCGAGAAGGGGATTAAAATGGCTAAATTAGGTAATTTACACCCGTCACAAGGTGGGCTTTAGAGACACGGACAGAATTAACTGCATTCCTGGGGAAAACTCATTAAAAATTTAAAAAGAGAAGACCAAACTGCTGCAGTGGATGGAAAAGCATTGAACTTGCACCCCGACGTTAGCCACGAATTCAAACGGGTTCTAGCGGTGCTTCTATGGTGCGTCACGCATAACACCTATTTGAAGGAGGACAGATCATAAAGAAAAGAGGCGATTTTATTATGAAGTCCTACAAATAACAGTCGCAGTTCAAAAGGAAGTACAAAGTCAATTTGAATGCTTAAATCCACACACAACAGTGGCAATTAAACCTTTAAGCCTGACACACAAAAGGGGATTCAAGCATAAAAGCTGCCCTTTACATCATATTGATGGCAATGAATGGTCTGTTCGATTCAAACTAATGTTTTTCAAACCTTAACAAGGTAATCCATTGCTTTTATTCCCGAGTGACTTGTATTGCAGCTTGAGGTTTATGACCTGTTCGATTTGAGTTATTTTATCAGTCAAGTTTAAAGACAAAAGTAGGCCATTTCTTTTGGTCATTCGGAGAAGACCTAAAGGAATAAGACTGCTTCATATAGTTTGAACTTCCTTACGTACAGAAATAAAGTAACTTGCTACATCAGCTCAGAGATTTCGCCGTTCTTATCCCGGTCAACAATATGGGGTGAAAAAAATAGCACTATCACCTTAAGCATTTAATAACGTTAACATATACAAGAAATAAAATGTGACAACGATGTACACTGCAGTGCTAGAACGCCGTCTAGAGAAGGGATCAGTTTGATTCATCAGCACAAAAACATTCAGTGAGATAAATGAAAACGCCTTCCAGATTACGCTATTTAAATACACAACCAACAAGTGCAGTGGATCCGGGAAGGAGGTGAAATAGGAAGTGTACGCGTTTGCTAGAATACAACTTTGTCCGATTAGTCACTGAGTGTGTTTCCGAGGTGAGCGAAATAGAGGTACCTGCACCAAGTAGAACTGGTGTCTATCAGCACTATTACATTGTTATCCAACCTTCAAAATCTGTCACCCGATTCAAAAATTCAATGAAGATGGAACTGGATTAAAATTAAACCTCCTAACCATTCAAGGTTTTGAAAGAATTGGGATTGCACCGAAAACACAAGAATGATCGCCATTTGCTGCATGTGCCAGGATCTGCCATCGAGTTCGAGTGCCTCGCTTGCAGATTCTGACAGAACTTAGTTGTGGACACGCTCGAGCTACCTTCACAGCAATTTTGTCCCCGCGTCACATCAACCAACTGCAAACGCTATTTGCTCATTTCATCATAAGTAAGTTTTGGAGCGGGAAAGCTTCCTACCGCCTTTGGAAAATGGGCAAGGATAAAACAACTATTTAAAGTAACAAACAAGTATAATAGTGCCAGAACAAAAGTGATGAAAGCACGATGCATGAAATCACACACACCAAAAAATAATAACAGCTAAGCGCGACGTAAGGCGCATATGTTATTCGATCCTAACCAGTAAAAGCAAATTTAAATCAGAAGCTAAATCGTGTACTGTCAGTTTCTGAAGGCAAAACTGCAAATTCGATAAAAGAGCTGGACGTTAATAGTAAAAAGGGCACATCCGAAGTTCGGTAGAACAGTCAATACCTTGAAGAAAAACAATTATAAAAGGGTTACACTTCAAGTGAATGCAATAAAATGTGGTTTGAGAAGCACTCTTATATAACGCTACGCGAAAAAGGATTTTCAGTTTTCGGATCCATCCTATACGAATGTGTATTATTGTCTAAACTAGTCTGCATCCTCCTAAATTCATCGCGCCGATTCAGTTGAATCAAAACTGCAAAATGGAAGCAGATCATTATTGATACGAAAATATCCTCCCCTTAAATGTTCTGAGCCTAGAGAGAGCGTAAAGATGACAGTCATGTAGGAAAGACAATTTGGTTGTCCGTGGACAAACAAATCTGCGCAAGCACGTATGTGCGCGTACGTGCGGCCAAGTGAACGCGCGCGTGCGCGCGCCACGCAGGTTATTGATCAACGTCCGTTGCGCCAAGTCAGTCATTTTAGCTGGCGCATTCGGTGAAAGCGCTTATCGTTGCTATGGTATTTTACTCGGTGGTCAATCGGCGTCTGTCTCACAATCAGTCTAATTTGGAAAACTTCCATTAACACCTGTATTCCTTTTAACTTCATGGCGTAATCACCAAATTACTGTTCGGTGCCTTCAGTTCTGACCAACAGTTTTAGACCTGTTAACCACTCATGACGTACGAAAAGCCATTTAAGAGCTACGACATCTAATGTTTCGATGTAAATCTAAATGTGATTGATTTAGTTAGCACAAAATAAGGAGGAAAGTACTCGAAAGCAAAGGCGAAAGGGACAACAACGAATTGTAGTATGTACGCGACTAAAACATGAAACTGGGAACAATTAATAATAAAGAGATGGCAATATTTACGTATCATAATTGATTTGGTTCTCACAATTTTATGTCCAATGAAGATAGGATGAATAAATTACTGACATTTCGTTAACGATGCTGGTGCAGCCACCACAACACTTCCAAAAAACACTAGTAGCATATGATTGACATATCTTAGCTAAATATAAAGGCAGTCTTATTCCAAACGCTTTCATGAAGACCTTTTCATAGTGCAAACGTCACTATCATGAGAAAGTAGCATTTCCGTTTCGAAAAGGCAATGGAAGGTGCACAGGTTTATAAACTACAAACCTCGAACGTACCTGACAAAACTCATTTTTTGTCGCAGCCTCCTCAAGATTATCACACAAACTCTTAATATCCGGAGAAATATTACTAGAATCAAGCTGCAGATGTTCATAGATCGCCTTGAAAGCTACAAAGTTAGCATCAATTATTACTACGTGCGAAAGACTTAAACTAATCAACAGCATAGCTAGCAATCTGAGCTAAGCCCATCAAAGGGACATAGTGCATACCTAAACTGCTAACAGTACACAATGAAGAAGTTACTCAAGGTTCTCATTTTGTCCATCAACTTGTTTATTAGACAGCCTGTAAAACATAAAAATGCAAAGCTTACAGCGCCATGATGCCCTCTGCGAGTTATAGAGATTCGAAAGAGCAGCAGCATATAATTGGCAACTGACGAGGCTTGATTTAAGTTGAGGTTTGAGTCGATTCTACGACATATCACGATTAATAAGATGACACTAACAGATCCCCTATCAAACAAGTATTTGCAAACTGCAGACGCATTTATTGGAATAGCACAACCAACGATCCAACAAAATACAGGCAAATCAGAAGATTTTGAAGGATCCATGATTGTTTGTAAACCAAGCAATTCAACACCACATCTCGGTCAAAATACTCGAAAGAGGCGGCGCCAATTGCAACCTTTAATAAACTTAAATAGTCATATTAAAACAAAACCAGATTTATTTATTTTATAAACAGGTATCGTGGAACATGTATTGCACGGTAATATATAAAAATCGATCTCCTATACAAAGCTTTGTCTCTGGTACATAAGCAAAGACGCAAGTTCTTACGCAAATATTGAAGCATGTGCCCATTATGCAGCGAGGTGGATGGACTAGATAGCGGGCTTATGTCCAATAAAACCACTGCAAATACTTGCTAGAAATTTTTAGCTTTTATGTAATGGTACACTTAGCTTATTTAGAAGAGTATTTTGTTGTCATTTCGGAATGATTTACAGCTTTCCATACTTAGTCCTGACTTTTCGTCGTTTAGTGTTTCTTAAGTGGCGGCATTAAACGATACGTACTGACAATGCCTGGCTTGCGTTCCACGGATAT